TCTAAGGGTTCATTTTCCTAACATCACATTATCTGACCTTTCCTGCTTGACTCATACATATACTAGATATTGCAAATAAGGGAAACCATGGGACCTTTGTTTCTTTGGGCCTGGCTTACTTCACTTAATATAATTTTTTTCCAAGCCTTTCCATTTTCTAACAAATGGGGCAATGTCATTCTTTCTGATGGAGGCATAGAATTCCATTGTGTATATATACCACATTTTCTTGATCCATTCATCTACTGAGGGACATTTGCATCCCAGCATTTTCCCCTGTCCTCACTCTTGTCACAAATATGGGGTTCACGCATCTGCTAACAGGTCACCTAGGCATCTTGAAGTGAAGTATTGCTAAGGCTTTGCACCATCTTTCCCCCCTTTCCCCATTCAGCTTCCTTTCCTCTTCTTCCTCCTCCTCCTTCCTTCCTCCTCTGTCTTCCTCTTTCTTGTCTTTCTTTTTAAAAACATTGTGATCTTTTTCCATTGTTGGAGCTTATGATTTTTAATTAACAGAAGCAAAGATTTCTATCTGATTTTATAAACATGATTTATTAAAATAATTTCTTAATACAATCTCTAGAAATAACTCCAATTCTTTACTAACTTCCTACGGAGTAGGATTTATTTTGTTTATTTATTTGATTTGATTTGATTTTAATTATTTATCGGTTCTAATGTTTACATCTTAAGTGATTTCATCACCTCAGGCCAACCCTGTGAGAAGATAAGTTATATCTCAAGTAAGTCATTGAAAAGTGCCAATCAGCAAAATTTAGAATTCAAGTTAAACTTATAGATACAGCCTGTACCTTTAGGAGGCAGAGGGTTTTTTTTGTAGTCATGTCATTTTCCTTTATAGTGCATAAAAATAAATGCAAATGTTAGTAGGCATGGAAAAGAAAGCAACTTAAATTTTAAGAAGTTATAATAGACCCTATTTCTTAGAAATAGTTGAGAATCTTATCACATATGTTGACTAAAGGTACAGAAAGACTGCTTAACTTTCTGAAGTCTGTTAAGTAAGCAAACCCATGTATTTAAGTACTTATTCTCTTTACTTGTAAAACTCTGAGCTATACATTGGAATAAATTCAAGCCTGTCCACATCATGAGGCCTCATTCCTATTTGGGGAACAAACCTCTCTCCTACCCACAGCACTGGCTGACACTTGCTTTTCTTTCAGCCACAAGCCCTCCCAGGGTAGTGACATTTGATGATGTGATGGCTGCAGCACGAAACTTATCAAACATGACTCTTGCTCATGAAATTGCCGTAAATGACCATTTCCAACTGAAACAAGATGCTCTCTCAGAAAACAGGTAACCCGACAGCATTCATTGGGTGTAAATCATGCTGAAGAGTGTGTGTGTGTGTGTGTGTGTGTGTGTGATTGACTCTGATTTCTGGAAGCTCTTAATAATCACAGATGTTGATTTTCAAATGATCCTTCACAATAGCCAAGCCTTTTCTTCTTAAAATGTGCTGACTCTCATATTTTATTATATATTTTTGGGGGGTAAGACATAATAAAATTAGGTTTCTAATACTTAGTGAAAAGCTTATAAATGATTGTGAACTCTTCCCACCCACCTCTGCAGAAAAATTAAAGAATTAGTAAAAGTACATTTCAGTGTACAGGAAGACATTAAACATTTTCAGGCAAATAGAATGTTTTCCTATTTAAATTTCCTAGATAAAATATAATACTTGAATATATAGAATATAATACTTTTAGAAACCATTTTTAACTCACACTCCTTGGAAAGCTAATTTCCATCTTTCGTTCCACTGTCATGTATTTAGCTATTTATACTTGAATAAATAACTAGGAGGCATCAAGCAATAGGAGGGATCAGTAACTATTAAATTATTAGTTCACTCACTAGGTATTCTTCAAACATCTGAGTGCCAGGTACTGTGCTAGGCACAAGGGCAGGTACCTAGACGAAGAAGTTGTAGCCTCTGACTGGGAGAAAGCTATTACTCTCTGGTGAAAGAGATGTGTAAGTAATTATACTACAGGGAAGTTTGAGGAGTTATAAAACCTACTGGCAAATGGTACAGGAGTTTAGTAGGAACGTGTATTTTAGTATGCGCCTATGTTGGGGCATTGACATAAGGGGTAAAGCAGGGTGGCCACCAATTCTAAAGTGAGCTCTTCCTGGGAAGGCTCCTATTTTAGCAGTTTGGTCTGGCTAACTTTAAACTGCTAAGCAGAGGTTGGCAGACATTCACAGACATGACAATGTTCTGTTCCTTGCCATGAAACTTCAAATGTTGAGGAAAGACTGTCATTTCATTCTTAATATATAAATAAATCACTGGGTGTCAGTGTAATCCTAATACTCAGAAGGCTGTGAGGATTGTGGTTCAAAGCCAGCCCAGGGAGGAAACTCCATGAGACTCTTTTTTTTTTTGGGGGGGGGTCGGGTCGTGGAGCCTGAACTCTGGGCCTGGGCACTGTCCCTCAGCTCGTCATCTCAAGGCTAGCGCTCTACCACTTGAGCCACAATGCCACTTCCAGCTTTTTTCTTTTTGCTTATGTGGTGCTGAGGAATCGAACTCAGGGCCTCGAGCATGCAAGGCAAGCGCTCTACCATTGAGCCACCTTCCCAGCCCCTCCATGAGACTCTTTATCTCCAATAAACCACTCAGAAAACCGGCAGTGGCACTACGTCTCAAGTGGTAGATCGCTCGCCTTGAGCTGAAGACCTGAGGGATAGTGCTCAGGCCCAGAGTTCAAGCCCCATGACCGACCAAACACACACACACACACATCTAAAAATCTGTGTAGAATAGCTATTGTGTGTGTGCGTGCATATGCATGCATGTATGTACTGGGGCTTGACCTTAGGGCTTCAATGATTTTGGTTGGCTTTTTCACTCAAGACTGACACTCTTATCAGCTAACTAAATTATGATACCTCTTTTATGAAGGTTTTGAAAGCTATGGTGAGGAAGATTTTAAAAGTCTAGGGAAGGATTGTAGGTGTAACTCTGTGGTAGACCACTTGCCTGGCATGCATGAGGCCCTGGGTTCCATCCCCAGCACTAAATAACAACAACCAGAAAAGTCTAGGGGAAACACATAGAAGAATATTAAATGGAAAAGGTATCTAATATTGTGCATATTGGGCTCCCTACTATGTTAAAACAATGCCCAACACATTAAACACAGGAGATATGTCAAATGATTAATAATGGGATTGAGGTTGGTTTTCATTCTCTTTTTAATTGCATTTCTTAAGATTTCTGCAGTGAAATTTCTCCCATTACTTAATGGGAGACAATAATGCTTATTTTAAAACCATCCAATTCAGCTGGGTACCAGTGGCTCACACCTGTAATCCTAGCTACTCAGGAGGCTTAGATGTGAGGATGGTGGTTCAAAGCCAGCTGGGGCAGGAAAGTCTGTGAGACTCATCTCCAATTAACCACTCAGAAAACCAGAAGTGGCGCTGTGGCTCAAGTGATAGTACTGTAGCCTAGAGCTGAAGAGCTGAGGGACAGCGCCCAGGCCCAGAGTTCAAGCCCCATGATTGACACAAAACAAAATAAAACCACCACATCTTTGTTATAGCTTGGCAGGTCGAGTGAAGCACATTGTTCACCAGGCCTTCTGGGATGTCCTGGAATCAGATCTCAACGCTGACCCTCCTGAGTATGACTATGCTCTCAAGCTGTTTGAAGAAATCAGAGAGGCAAGTTGATTTTTTAAAAAATGTTTTGCTGCTGTTATAAAGGTGATCTGAGGAGTTACAATTACAGAAGTCAGGTAAAGAGTACATTTCTTTTTGGACATGGTCACCCCTTCCTTCGGTCTCTCCCAGTTTTTCCCTCCCATCCCCACCCACAAGTTGCATAGTCCATTTTTCAGCATAGTATCGAGTGAGTACCACTGCTGCATTTGTTCACCCTTTGTCTCTCCATTTCTGTGCCTCTCCCACACTCCCAAAGCTATATAAATGAACAGACCAAAAAGAAAGCAAAAAAGAAAAACAAGCCTCTTATTTCCATTTCCTAAAGTACATTTCAATAAATACTATCCTACAAGTTGATGTTTGAGATAGACAATGCCCTGGTCCACAGCACCATTACAACAGGATACAACCATAGACTGGGAGACTCAGGAACAATAGAAGTTCTGGAGGCTGAGATGTCTAACACTCAAGCACCAGCAGGTTAAGTATCTGGCGAAGCCCTGTTTCCAACTCATAGAGGACACTGCCTTGCTCATCCTCACGTCGTATAAAAGACAAGGCAGCTCTCCAGGGTTTGTTTTGTTTTATAAGGACACTGATCCCATTAGTGATGCCTCTATCCTCAGGACCTCGTCACCTGCCACAGGCTCCATCTCTCTTACCACCCCATTGGAGACTGGGTTTCAATCTATGACTCTGGTAGAGAGGACATAAACATTCAGACTATCACAGCTAATTTTCCCCCTCTCCCCCCCCCCAAGAGACTGTTTTATATTCTTTAAATATTAGCCTCTTATTTTGCAAGAAACTGAGCATAATCACTTTTAGAGTTTTTCCTGCCTCTCCTGGAGTAATATAGAAGCAGCAGATAGAGTCAAGGCAATGCTTCAAAGGACAGACTTGAGGTGGGTGCTGGTAGCTCACACCTATAATCCTAGCTACTCAGGAGGCTGAGATCTGAGGATCACAGCTTGAAACCAGATGGACAGAAAGGTCCTCGTGAGTCCCTTACCTCCAACTAATCACTCAAAAACCAGGCGTAGAACTGTAGCTCAAAGTGGTAGAGTGCTAGCCTTGAGCACAAAGAGTTCAAGGACAGCGCCCAGGCCCTGAGTTCAAGCCCCACAACAACAACAACAAGAAAAACAGACTCTGGAGTTAGGTGGATTAGTGATACACTTGCTGTCTTTAAGTTGTAGTTTCCTAAGTACGTATAGCACCATAACAATCATTAAATGAGATGACAGTTACTATTTATCTAGCACTTACAAGGACTCTCTCTATGCTGTGCACTAGAATGATTCATTTGTTTTTAGTCCTGATTCTATGAGGCAGTGACTCCTGTTATTTTATAGAAAGAAACTAAATTCCCCAACTCACCCAAGGTCACAGGCTTTGAGAGGTCTGAGGAATTTGAATTGAGACACTCTAGTTCAGAGCTTTTCCTCCCAACCATGTTCTGTGAATATAAGCGCAGAGTCTATAATGCAGTGAAGACTTAATAACAAATTGCTTTTAGAATGAACAAGAAATATGTTCAGTATACTTAAAGAAACCTATGCAGTGTTTTCATTTATCATATTATTATTATTATTTTGGTGCCCATACTGGGGCTTGAATTCAGGGCCTGGAAGCTGTCCATTAGTTTTTTTTGAAGGCTGGCACTCTACTCTTTTTGTTGGTGGTGGTGGTGGTCATGGGGCTTGAACTCTGGGCTTGGGCACTGTCCTTGAGCTCTTCAGCTCAAGGCCCACTACAGCTTGAGCCACAGCACCACTTCCAGTTTTCTAGTGGTTTATTGGAAATGAGAGTCTCATGGACTTTCCTGCCTGAGCTGACTTTGAACCGTGATCCTCAGATCTCAGCCTCCTGTGTAGCTAGGATTACAGGCATGAGCCACTGGTGCCTGGCTGGCACTCTACTCTTGAGCCCCAACTCCACTCTTTCTGCCAGTTAATTGGAAATAAGTATCACAGAATTTCAAACCATGATCCTCAGTTCTCAGCCTCCTGAGTACCTAGGATAGGCATGAGCCATTGGCACCTAGCTTATCTGTTCTTTTTTAAGAGTTCTTTTGGAACCATGATCTTCAAATTGTCCTTTCTTTGTGCTGTCTGAAGATTTTTGGAAGTGCTGTCAGTAGTACTATTTCCTTGCCAGATTTTTATTCTGATAGATTGTTTCTGATTTCTCCCAGTAGGGGCTTTAGATTTAGAAGGTAGAGTTTTCTCTACCTTCTCTGCCCCCAGGCAGTGATTCTTCCTATGCCATCACTGTCATTAAAACATGGCCAGGGGGCTGGGAAGGTGGCTCAGTGGTAGAGTGCTTGCCTTACATGCATGAGGCCCTGGGTTCGATTCCTCAGCAACACATAAGCAGAAAATGCCAGAAGTGGCGCTGTGGCTCAAGCGGTAGAGCACTAACTTGAGCTGAAGAGCTGAGGGACAGCGCCCAGGCCCAGAGTTCAGGCCCCATGATCGATAAAAAACAAACACAAAAACAATGACCAGGAAACTTGGTTATCTAGACATGACAACTTTAACCTCATCAATCATGTAATGCTGCTGATTTTTCTTTCTTTTGCCCATGTAGATTCTTCTCTCTTTTCTGACTCCTGGAGGGAACCGGCTTCGCAACCAGATCTGTGAAGTTCTGGACATAGAACTTATTAGGCAGCAGGCTAAGCACAATGCCGTTGACATCCAAGGCCTCGCCAACTATGTCATCAGCACCATGGGAAAGCTCTGTGCTCCTGTGCGAGATGGCGATATCAGAGAGTTAAAGGCTACTGGCAACATTGTAGAGGTGCTCAGGTTAGACCTTTTGCTGTTTGCATTTTCTTACGCTACCTTTTGATTTCATCCAGAAATTGGGGAACACAGAATAATAGTAGGTCTTCCAATTCTTGACCTTAGAAGAAAACCAGATAATCAAGCAGCAAGTGAATCCTGTACATTGTGGATGGGCTTTTCACACAGAGTGGTCTAGCAAGATGCAGTCATTAAAACAAACGATTCTTGACATAAGGGAATTTAATCTGAGGGGGACTTAGATCTTGAAATGAATGAGAGCTGTGATGAGTGCTGTGGGAGGAGCAGTAGGGGGGTTTTAGGATGGCCTCCAGCATGCTAACTGTATCTACTAAAGAATCTAGGAAAGCACTCTTTATTAATAAGAGTCCTTAGCTACTGTGCTTAACAAGTGATTTAATGAACAGAAGTTAATTACTCATACCCCAGTCTGATTCAGGAGTTCTTGTTTAGGTAGGTAACATTCCCACATGCCATTTGGGACCCAGGCTACTTCTGTCCTTGGCTGAACCCTCACCCAGGTTCTGGGCACCCTCTCAGTTCAGCTGGTGATGAAAGAAACCATGGAAAGGAATGCCAAGACACATTCCCTTGAGCATGACTGGTCACATGATTGTCCCACCTAGATTGAAAGAGAGCTGGGAAATGTAGTTGCTGTCTAGAAAACCCCAAGCCACAAATCTGTTCTGAAGAGAGAGGAGCTTTTTGGTGGTCAGCTAGCCATTTCTGCTGCAGCTTTCCTAGGGAAATAAGGTGCATGTTAAGTCACCAGATGATGATCTGATCCTGCTGTGTAAACAATACTTCCTTGTGATCCCAGAGGAGAGAATAGTGTACAACACATTTCACCATGGCAGGGAACATTTCTCTTTTTCTTCTTCTCCCCTTTTTCTTATAAATATCGTAATAAGCCTTGAGTTTTATGTAATTAATTTTTTAGAAAAGTAGACGATGGAAACTAGTTTGCATAGAAGAGGTAACTTCTTTTGTGACCATAGCTTCTCAAAGAGAAACTTTCCCTGTCTGTAAAATACGCTTTATGCATCTTTTTTGAAGGGGGGAGGTCAGTTGTGGGGCTTGAACTCTGGGCCAGGGCGCTGTCCCTGAGCTCTTCAGCTCAAGGCGAGCGCTCTACCACTTGAGCCACAGCGCCACTTCCGGTTTCCTAGTGGTTAATTGGAGATAAGAGTCTCACGGACTTTCCTGCCCGGGCTGGCTTTGAACCACGATCCTCACATCTCAGCCTCCTGAGTAGCTAGGATTACAGGTATGAGCCACTGGTGCCTGGCTATGACTCTTTTTAGAATTGTCTAAGTTCTGTCAGATTTGTGGCATCCTCACTCAGGTTTTTTTAAATTATTATTGACATACAATATCAAATAAACATCTTTTTCTTGGTCGTTTACTGAGCACCTACTGTGTGCCTCTTTCCTCCGGCACTTTACCTTCATCATGTCATTGACAGCTAAAACTTCATTCCAAAGTTGATGTTCTCTCTCACAAATGAGAAAACTGAGGCTCAAGAGAGATTAATTTGTTCATGGCATCAAACCTGGTTAGTTGCAAAGCTAGATTTGAGCACAGGACTGCCCAACTCTACAAAGAAGTATTTTTTCTCAATGTTTTACTGCCCTGTCCCTTTTATCCTCTGTTCCTTACATATTGCCTCTTATTTCATTAGTATTAGAAGCTTTATGTCAGGGACTTTCTTTTTCTAAGTTTTGGTGGTGCTTTCAATATCTTTCTGTTAATTTATGACTATCTATAATGGGTAAGCCAGATGTATTCTGTTGGCTATAGTAAATACTCTTGAGATGTGTGGAAGGAACATTTGGAATGTACACATAGAAGATTCTGTGAAGTGATTTTGCCAAGTCCCTGTTGGAATTTCATAACCATGTTGATGTTTATCTTTTCCAGCCTGTAACGTACAAAAAATAGCTGAAGAATTTCAGTTTGACTCCTTTTTTATGTGTCTATTTTAATTTCTAACATTTTTAGACAAATATTCCATGTCCTGGACCTCATGAAAATGGACATGGCCAATTTTACAATTATGAGTCTTAGACCTCACCTTCAACGCCAATTGGTAGAATATGAGAGAACCAAGTTCCAGGAAATTTTGGAAGAAACTCCAAGTAAGTGTAACACAAAAGTATATTTATGTGATACAGTAATTTTTTTTAATTTCATGTCATTCAACTTAACTTTTTTATTCTCATTAATTTTTTTCCCTAAAATTGGCCTCACATACTTAGAGATGTTTCTGTTGTCTTGGGAGATGTGCTGAGCACTACCAACTTTTTTCCATTCACTTGAATTATTTCTTGAGCACCTGCCATGTTATAGGCATTGTTTAGGGTTATAGATACTTCAGTGGACAAACCAATAAAATCACAGCCAAGAAGCAGACGTTGTAGTAGGAATGGCAAATAAGCATATGTGTTGTCAGCTTGGGGACGGATAAGGTGACAGTAGGAGGTGTTTTATAGATGGGGCAACTGAGAAAACCTATTAAAGTAACAGTTGAGGATAAAGTTGATTGGGATACATTGTATAATTTGTAGAAATGTTACAGTTGAAGAACTAATGTATGCTAAATAAAAACAATGAACAATTGAGCAGAGCTTGCAAAGAAATGAGGAAAGGGCATGTGAGGATCTGGGGCAAGGGATAGTGTCACCATAGGAAGCTGAAGGGTACAGAGATCATGAAGCAGAAATTAGTTTATGCAATTTGACAAACACAAGGCAGACTTTGTGGCTGGAGTAGAATGGGTAAGGGGACAGGGGCAGAGGATGAGGTTGAAAGGTAGACGAAGGCAAGTGACCTGGAGCCTTGTTACGTTCCTTAGGAGATTTCATTGCAAGTATAATTGGAAGTTTGTGGAGAGTTTGGGGGCAGGGAAGCAACATCTGATTTTTGTTTTTGGAAAATAGTCTGCTTCCTGAACAATATATACCTGCTCACAGGTATATATTCATGGGAGGAAGCAGGGAAGCAGAAATACTAGTTGGTAATACTGGAATTAGACAGGCAAGAACTGATGGTAGCGGTAGAAGCAGTAAGAAGAGGTCAAATTGTGTGAGTGTGTGTGTGTGTGTGTGTGTGTGCACACATGTGTGGGTAGGTGCCAGTACAGGAGCTTAAACTCCCAGCTGGGAGTATGTTTTTCTAGCTGAAAATTGGGGCACTTAAGTAAATTAACTTGTAATGCTATTGCATATTCTTGTGTTTCCGCCTCCTTTCTTCCAAACTTAGTGAGCACAGGGGCCATAATCATAATACTTGGTAAAATACCTGGAACAAAGTCAGCCCTCAATGGTTACCATTGAATAAATAGGCATATGGAGAAACTCTTACTATTAACCCCATGAAAAACAACAGGTCACATAGTACCTGATGGGTTGCTTTGCTTTGCGGTCAGTCAGTATACTGTTTGTGGTATGGAATCTTAGTAGAACAGAGAGAGTGGACTCTAGTCTGTACAATTGTGACTAGCATTACAATTGCCTGGGGCATTTAAACACAGATGCCTGAGCCCCACCTCAGGCTGATTAAGTCAGGAGCTCCAGGAGTTTTGCCCAAGACCATTATTTTTTTCTTCTTCTTTTTAAAGCTCCCCGGGTGATTCTAAACTCAGGCAGAATTGAGAACCACCAAGCCACACTGTTGCTTTTGTTCAAGATAACTAAATAGGCTCTTAAATGTGTCAGCTGTAAATGATTAGACTTGCACTCTGAATGCTTATTACTGCCATATTGTAATTACATCCACGTGGATTTTTCACTCAGCATTCTCTGTTGGATGTCTTTTGAATAAAAGACAGCCAGTCTTTTACATCTTTATAAACGGAACTGGCTAACCACGAGCATTTGCCAAGTGAGGAAAAAAACAGACTTGTGAAATTCTGGGGGTGGTGTGGCTTCAGTGTTGCAAACAGAGTAACTCATAAATTAGCCCTGCTGGGTCTGAAGAAGAATTGCAATCTCTCTCTCTCTCTCTCTCTCTCTCTCTCCCTCTCTCCCTCTCTCCCTCTCTCCCTCTCTCCCTCTCTCCCTCTCTCTCCCCCCCTCCCTCTCCCTCTCCTCTCCTCCCCCTCTCTCTGTCTCTCTCTCCCTTTAGTATGTGTGCAGTCTGTATTTCTGAGTAGTTGCCACCTTGTAAATTCTATAAAATACATACTTTATTAGAACTGTGATATAAAAAGCAAGTAGTCTCTAGTGGGAAATCTTGAACTGGTTTAATATAAGTGAATTTTGCCCTAAGGCATAAAGCCAAGTAGGAAAATATTGCCTCTAGACTTTAGGTCTTCTGGAATAGTCTTCAGTATAATTTCATTTGGTTCATGATGTAAGAGATATGGAATTCAAGGTTGGAGGAGATTCTTGCGGACACAAATGAAATACTAATTGTCAGGTAAGTCGGGAGATTTTAGCCCCACCATTGGACATTGACCCATGTCTAGAGACTCTTGTGTCAGTTTTGCCGGGGGTAGAGAGATAGGGGCAGCTAGTGGCTAGCAGCCCAGAATGCAGCCACGTTCTACTGTGAACAGGGAAGTGTCCTATAGCAAGGGATTATCAGTCCATAATGTCAGCAGTGCCAAGACCGAGCCACTTCTTGTAGGTCAAAAGTCAGAACAAAGCCATTTCATGATGGCCTAAAGTAATAGCTTCATAGTCCAGGGCAATTTGGGTTTCAATAAATAAGGAAAACTGGTAGCCACTGAGCCCTGGGGAGTTATATTTGTGTTTGGAAGTAGATTTTTGTTTGTTATTTGCTTGGTGGTTCTGAGGTTTGAATTTTGGACCTCATACTTGCTAGGCAGGCTCTCTAGCATTTGAACCATGTCCCAGCTCTTTGATGTTTTATTTATTTTTTGACAGCATCTTACTGTTTTGCCCAGTTCTAGTCTCAGATGGCAAGCCTCCTATGTATGCCTCCCACTTAGCTATGCCCTGTTTATTTGTGGAGATGTCCCGGGAGGGGGGCTGGTCTCACTAATCTTTGTCCATGCTGGATTCCAGCTTTGATCTTCTTGATCTCCATCTTTCAAGTAGCTGGGATTTGAGGCTTGTGCTACCATGCCAAGCCCTCTGGACATTGCCCTGTTATATACAGTCCTGAAGCATGGTAGAGACTTTCTTCTTCTTGCCTTCTTTACATTGTCTTCAAGGGGAGGGTGTCCCCTTGCAGAAACAGGCACCTGCAGAGTACCTTTGGAGCAACTTTATGTGAGTTGTAGTTGTTTAGCAGAAGAAACCGCAAACCATTAGACAAATTCCACAAATGGTAACTGCTAGGCACCTAATAATAATGTATTTTTTGAAATATGTAAGTGCTATATGCTTTAACATGAAATGAATTCAAGACCTCCTTTCCAATGATCCATCCAGAAGACGAACTTGGCAACTAATCTTGTTTAAAGTGAAATGCCCCACTGGGCATTGCTACACGTTCTTTAAGTTCAAATGAAGTATAAGACTCATGTCTAGTGTCTTCCTCCCTTGCTACTTCTTTCTGTCACTTTTCCTGATGGAGCAGTCCTTGCCAGGAATCAAGGCTCTTTGCTAGGCGATCTAAAATTTCAGTTTAGGTCTATTTTTTAGGTAATGTCTGCTTTGAAGCACCGCTTTAAAGGGGTCTGCTGAGATTCCACTTCCTCAAGCTAGTGTACTGATATTTAGAAGAGTAAAATAATAAGTTCTTTAAAAAAAAAAGCCTGCTCACAGCAGCCCAGTGCTCAGCCTAGGTCTCATTCCATGGAGATCACTCCTGTGTACATTCACCTCAGCAGTGAGGCAGCTGTTATGAGACAAGAAGAGAACCTGGCTCAGACCTGCCGAGCTTCAAACACCAAAACCAATTCAAGTGTAAACATTCATCTCCCTTTTAGAGATGTCTGGAGAGTTAAATGTTAACTTAACCATTGCTAACAGTGGATAGTTCATAGACACTAGAATGGTTCTAAGTGTTTTACTTGTATTCCTTTTTTGGATCCTTACCACAAAGCAGAAAGGACGTCCAAGCTGAGTAGATTGTGATTTACCCAAGGCACACGGCTCATGAATACCAACAACCAGACGTTAGCTCAGACTGGCTCAAAGGCCATCCTCCCAATCACTGCACCAGCCACTTACCCTACAGGGGAGACTCTAACAGAAACTCTCTCTTTATCCTGTCACACGTAATTGTTCATTTATTGACCTTTCTCCCACTCGGGACTAAGGGCATAGCTGTGTCTTTTCATTCATGCTTAGCACCTAACATACAGCCTGTCATGTGAAATGTACAGATGGAAGGGTCAGTGAGGTACAGAACGAATATGTGGGTCTCTGTGTCATTCTTAGATGGTCTTGAGCAAACTACAGAATGGATCAAAGAGTCTGTAGATGAGGAACTCCTTTCTCTTTCGGAGACTGCTGTAACTCCTGGGACTGAAAACAGCTCCACGCCAAGCCTGAGCCCTACATTGGTGCTAAATAACAGTTACTTGAAACTGTTGCAGTGGGATTATCAGAAAAAAGAAATACCAGAGGTGAGTTTGTCCTTCCCTCCAGTTTTCCAGGACTTAAATGACTAAGTTTGAATTTGTCCCATCTGTGTTACATATAGTTTAATGACTTCATTGAAGTCAGATTTTTTAAATGGATGTGGCATTGCTTATTTTACATTTTCATAGTATTGTGCTTCCCTTTCTATTTTTACATTTTAAATCAATGTACTAGACACTCATGACAGATGGAACACGACTTCAGGAACTGACAGAAAAGCTGAATCAATTGAAAATGATTGCCTGTCTGTCTCTAATTACCAACAACATGGTGGGTGCGATTACAGAAGGCCAGCCTGAGCTTGCAAACAGGTTAAAAAGGATCTCAGCTGTTCTACTTGAAGGCATGAATAAAGAGTAAGTTTCCTGTGTTGGTTTGTATCTGTTCTCCCAGACACTAAGGTTCTGTATATGCTTTAGGGAGCCAGCAAAATTCTGGATCTGATCCTCAGGATTGTATTTTAAAAATGATTACCTTACAGCTTCTTTTACTAGAATTTCTTTCAATATCTCTGAAAGCCTAGATAGCCTTTGATAGGAAAGGAGAAGCCTTTTCCGTGGCAAGTGCCAGGGTGAGTGTAGTGTTTCTCCTTCTGATGGCTGTGTGCAAGAGCTTTTCTCTGATAGTACCGTGGGAAAAAAAAAACCACTAGAAATCCACTCAGTCCAGTGTTTAACATTGCCCTCATCACAGAGGACTGTTAGGACTCAATTGATCTCTTCTTCCACTTGTCTGCAGTGAAAAGTTTATGGATTTCATGAATTCAACTTGCTACAAAGCCTTTACAAGTAGTAACAACTCTGTCCTTTGGATCATTCAAAGGTTGGATACAGAGGTGGAGATGTGGCTCAACTGGCTTGCATGAAAAAACCAAGCAAGAGCATGAGGTCCCTAGTTCAAATCCCAGTACTGGTGCATGTGGGAACACACACACACACACACACACACACACACACACACACACACACTTACATACACACAAAAGATAATGATGCAAATCTAGTAAAAGTTTTGTTTTGAGTTCATTCATCTCTCACTATTTCTTTTTCATGGACTGCTATAATTCTATTTAGATCATCCCACTAAAAATTTGTCTAAGTCAGGAAATTCTTAGTTTAGTCAACAACCAGATGTTTCTGTGGATCTAATAATGCCCTGCTGGTTCACCTTCTAGATGTTTTCAGGGACGTATCTTCTCTGTTCCTGTCATTGGAATTGGGAGATGCACCTATCCTTCCATCCATTACTTAGCATACAGATCCCTTAATAAAATTCTAGTCTAGGATCTCAAGAGGTTGAGGATCCAAACTTCTCATTGTAAGCTGAAGCACAGAAAATGAATAGAATTTGCTTTGGACTGCACAGACAGCAAAGGACAAAACAGGCTTGAGTGCTGATCTGAGTCTCTCAAGGCCTTTCTTTTTCTGATTTTCTTGCAAGCCTACCGTGTTCCATTTTTTCTGTTTTGTTTTTATCTTTTTTTTAATGTCCCAGGACCTGAAACCTATAATGGAAAAAACAAAACAACCCAACAAGCGTCTTTCTCTGGCTTTGCAGCTGGTCTTAGCATGTTCCTTGCCAATAGTGAACATCCAATGCTGCTTCGTATTAATATAAAATACATAGAAACTGGCCATTAAGCCAGGTGATAGTGGCTCACATCTGTAAGCCTAGCTAATTAGGAGGCTGAGATCTGAGCATCAAGGTTCAAAGGCAGCCAGGGGAGGAAAGTACATGAGACTCATCTCTAATTAACCACCAAAAAGTTGGAAGTGGAGCTATGGCTCAAGTGGTAGAGAGCCATCTTGAGTGAAAAAGCTGAGAGCTGGGCACAGGTGGCTCACACCTATAATCCTAGCTACTCAGGTGGCTGAGATCTGAGGATCACGGTTCAAAACCAGCCTGGGCAGAAAAGTCATCATAAGATTCTATCTCCAATTAACCACTCAAAAACTGGAAGTGGTGCTGTGGCTCAAGTGACAGAACACTAGCCTTGAGCACAGAGAGGCTCCTGGACAGCACCCAGCCCCTGAGCAAGCCCCAGTACTGGCCAAATAAACCACTAACACACACACACACACACACACACACACACACACACACACACACACAACCACATGCATGGATGCATGCCAAACAAGAAGAAAAAAGCTGGCCACTAAAAACACTGGCCACTGTTCAGCTTGCCAATCTTTAGGTTCCAGCTCGGCCACTGTCTTGTTACACATGATTGAACAAGTTCCTGAGTCACTTTGAGCCTCACTTTTCACCTTGTAAAAAGGGAATAATAACTGTGTCTGCCTTGGAGCGGTGAGAATTTAAGATGATTCATGTGAAACTCAGTACAGATGTCTGGCAACATAGCATTTACTTAATGAATGTTTGCTATAAACAACTGTTTGGGTGTTAAATCATCTTTATAGTTTTAGCTGGTTGTTTATCTTGCAGTTACCTTTCATTTTTCTCTTTCATTAGACAATGAATATAGTTAGATCTCAAGCAGAATTCTCATTGTAGGCGAGTGATAGCAATCATAATATAATAAAGCAGACGATCCCAAATAGCCAGGACATCTTGCTGTCACTTAAATTTGGCTTGGTGATGTACCTCAGACATGAGCATTACTTTTGCCTTTATTGTGAATAGGAAGCCTTGCCTAAAATTAAATTTCTCCTTCAGTCTGAGGAATCACTGATTAAAGTGAGAGAAAGTTAGAGTTGTAATGGATAAAGCACCTAAGGTAAAAACTTTGTCCTGATCCACCACTGCCCAAGGTAGGTCTAGTATTGGCAAATTCCAGTCAACAAACAACATTTACTTCTTATTGCTGTTCATATTCACAGTAGTGATAGCTCATTATTTTCTTTTTTGTCTTCTCATTAAACTACCTCCCTGACAAGCTTCTAAAAACTAATATAGCAAGTTCAGTGGGAGAGTATGGGTTTGAACTAGGGTCTGAACCACGCCATAACTGACATTCTAATTCACTCCATTGTGCTACTGCCTTTCAGCAGGCCCTTGTCTTATTCTTTAATTTCCATTTCACACTGTCCTTTTGTTTGTTGGTAGGGATTGAACTCAGAGGTCCCTCACTTGCTAAGCAAGCACTCTGCCACTTAGACCACACCCTTAGTTCTCAAAAAGTCAATTGAGAGATTCTTTCTGGAAAGTGAAATATCATTTGAAATTATTCCTTAATAGTGTGGGTCCAAATAATGCCTCTGTACTTAGCTTTTTTCCTTACCTATTAGAGAAGCTACTCCTTAATTTCTGTACATTTATGATTATTTAGCAGGAAGAAATTTTTTAACCTTTGGTCATGATCAACAATGAAAATTTTTAAGAAATTTGGTGACCTTGGTTTTGATTGATGTTACAGATTTACCGTTCAAGTATAGGAAAATGAACTGATTGTACCTCATGTTCCAAGTTTTTTGGGAAATAATGTATGAATCAATTCTCTCAAACCAATGGATGGATATTTAGAAAGTACATTTCTGTTTCCTGTCTCTTTCCGATAACCTACATGTAAATGTTGTTGCAGACTTACTTTTAGGACCATGCTTTAATACCCATGCTTTTCTGTTTGGACACTTAAGTACACATTTTATATACATATATATATATATATATTTATTTATATATATATAAGATATATATATATTTTTTTTTTTTTTTTGTCAGTCATGGGGCTTGAACTCAGGGCCTGAGTTCTGTCCTTCATCTTTTCAGCTCAAGGCTAGCACTCTACCACTTGAGCCACAGCAGCAACTTCCGGCTTTTTTTTTTTCTGTTTATGTGGTCCTGAGGAATTGAACCCAGGGATTCATACATGAGAGGCAAGCACTTTACTACTGAGCCACCTTCCCAGCCCAACACATTGTATACTTTTAAGCACTTAAAAATCTGTCACATGGTTTTGGAGGCTTGGCTCAGTGGTAGAACACCTGCATAACAAGCATGAGGCCCTGAGTTCAAATCTCAGTATCACAAAAATATGAATAACATAAAAATCTGTTACATGTGGGGATAGTAGTTACTATTTTCTGTGTTTTTTCAAATAGCAGTAAATATTGCCCTTGTAAGAGAAAATCTGTAGACATCTGAAGTGAGTTGGTATAATTAAAAAAATAAAAAAACCAACAATAACAATAAAGAAAACACCCAAAGAATAGAAACTTACCTTGAAGAGATTTCATTTTATGTTGTATAGGACCTTTAACTTGAAGGAAGCCCTGAAGTCTATTGGTGTTCAGACTTGCATTGAGGTTAACAAGACCCTGAAAGAGCGAGATTTACCTGTTCTAAATGCGGAGATTCAAGCTAATCTTATAGGTCAATTTTCAAGCATTGAAGATAAAGACAATTCTATCTGGTCCTTGGTTGGTGAGTACTCTTTATTATTATTGTTGTTAGTCTGCTTCAGTTTAATTTATTTTTAATTTTTGACTAATGCTGTCAACCGTATCTTATTCTTTAACACATTTCTAAAAATCTCAGTTTTTGGAGCATTCCAGATTTTGGATTTTCAGATAAGGGATGCTCAACCAATAAAAATCTACATAAATATTCTAAAAGTCCAGTGAACCACAAAAGTCACATATTACAAATCCCAAGCATTTTGGATAAAAGATACTCAACCTGTACATGCTTTTGGAGGATAAATGTTAATATTTATATAGATATAGATATATAGCTAAGTATGTATGTATAAATAATACTTTCAAAGGTCTGAGATCACGTGACAACCCTTACTCGGATACCTTCACATGCTGGCATGTATCTTCCTTACAGTGAGTAGTCTCAAAGCAGACAGTTAAAACCTGAGAGATTGTGTTCCTAGGAGGAAGAAGGGAAGAAAAAGGATTGATGTAGAAGTCTTGCTGTGTGCTGTTAGGTCTCCACTAGTATTCAGGCCTCCTGCACACAAGGTGTGTGGTTGATCACTACGGTCTCCCTGCACAATACTGAGCCCATAAAGGTATGTAATAATATTCTGTGGAATGAGTGAATGCATGGCAGACTTGCAAAGGCAAAGTAACTCTCATTCAGGGTCACATAAGAAGCTGGGACAGAGTTGATATCCTTACCCAACCTGTCTGACTCCAGAGCTCACATACCTAACTGCTCTGCCAGGTGCTTAAGGCAGAGCTGGAGTACCGCTACCACTGCTGTTGATAGACTACAATCATAGTGTGTCTGTGCCTTTGCTTTACATGAGGGAAGTATTTGTAGAAGGAAAAGGAAGGGGAAGCAGGGAGGAAATGCCTTTTAAAATCTGGTAAGACAACTTTTGTTCACCTAGCTCTCCCTGGTACAACCTTCCTGTCCTTTTGCACAATGAAAACATTTCTTTTTTGACCTCAAAGTATTGTTGTCTTGGAAACTTGAGTGACTCTGGAGTGTGACTCCTCAGAAGCCAAGGACACACCTTTGGCAGAGACTTCTGTTTAGCTGTTCCTGTCACTGTAGTTTTGGCCTAGAAAACTGAGTTGTCCATTGAGGAGACAGAACTAGTGAACATAATAGTAGTGTTTTGAAAGGGTTTCATTTTTAAACCTTCTTGTGGGAAAATATTTGAACTCTATCATCTGTGATGATGATAAGCCTGGGCCTGTGAGTCAGGCAGCTAGTCTCAAGGAGGATGTGCACACTGTCTGTGGGCTTTCTGCATGCACCAGCACCAGAAGAAATTAAACACAGGAAGCCTGGTGTGCACCAGTGACAATCCTCACTACTCAAGAGGCTGACATCGGAGGACCACAGTTCAAAGCCAGCTCCAGCAGAATAATTTGTGAGACACTTATGTCTCTTTAACCATCATAAAGTCAGAAGTGAAACTGTGGTTCAAAGGGTAAAGCACCAACCTTGAACAACAACAACAACAAAAAAGCAACCTGGGTTCAAGCCATAGTACCAGCATCAATAAATCAATAAATCAGACAATAAATAAGCCATTCAATCACTTACAGTAGATCCCTGGCGTGTAAGAAAGGCTATAGTCTAGCTACAGTTGTCTCCTTATGTTTTTTCCTGTAGTTTTCTTAGTTGATGTGCTATTTATGCACAGAAGGGGTGCACTTCCCACTGTCTTCTTAACCTTCTGAAAAGATCACTGGAAAGGGAGTTTTCTTTCAAGCCAGTTTTTTTAAGTGTACAAAAGCCAGAAAAAATTATTTGTGTGCTGTGTAGATTACTTGGATGCCTATAACCATGTCATTTTTAAAAGTAATTTTCAATTGTCCAAGTGGTATATAATAAATTATTCTTGTGGAAATATTACAGGTAAAGCTTAAGTTATCTGTGCCTGCCTTTTCTAGCCTCCTTTCCTCCTTGGACATTATTATTTTTGGTTTAGTGTTTACCTTTGTAACTCCTTTCCATTTCATTTTCATTTAAATTCAGTCAGCATTTATGATATTCTTGCCACATAACAGATGAGAATTTAAAGATAAAAAAGACATAGCCCTCATCTTTAGTGAGCTTATGATTGAATACAGGACAGAGATACCCTCTCAACTGGCAATGTTATGCTGTGATAACAGAGGCTAGAAAAAAAAACACAGAAAAGAGGTAACCTTAGATTCTGAAAGATGTTTTGACTTTCACCAAGACATGGACATTGGAAACTTTTTGGCTGTAGATCAGATCAAACCAAACACAATTTGGGGAAGAAGTATTTGACAATAAGAGCTTCATGAATGTATCCAATGGAATTTATTCCTCCTAGTCAACTTTCTTATTTGTGAAGCTTTTGATTCCAAAGCCAGAGTCCTTAGAGCCATGTGATCTGTAGCAGTTTGCCCAATACTAGTCCAATATAACTGCCACCCAATCACCATGTGTATTTGCAAGCTTTCATGTAGTAGGCTCAGACTCGAATCTACTAAAGCAGGGAAGGTGGCATACTTCCTCAGTGCCTCCTGATAGTTGGCTGTGACTGTATGATTTGTTACCAAACCAGGACACTTTTATAAGAATACTCTAATTATGCCACAAGTGTAAACTTCAACTATCCTGGCAATACTTAGATGTGTGATTACTCTTACCTTAATGGTAATTTGGTCCTGCAAGTTTGCTAAATCTTTAGGATTTTTTTTGGTTAAAAAAAAAACAAGGGTTTGAATCTCTATGTGAAATCCTGTGATTTGAAATAGCTTCTAGTAAATAAAATATCCTAGGATATTGGTCAAACCCATAGTATGTCAGTTTACAAACTCAGCTTCAAGTAAGTAATTGCAATGGTGATGTGGAGGATTTCCCCAGAGGCTCCTCTTTTTAACATTAATCAGTGATTGCTGTATAATAAGGATACCTTAAAACTCCATTGCTATCAGACACCCACGACTCACGCCTATAACCCTAGCTACTCAAGAGGCACAATTTAAAGCCAGCCCAAGCAGAAAAGCATACAAGTTTCTATCTCCAAATAACCAGCAAAATACCTCAAAGGCCTCTGAGTTCAAGTCCATGAACAGGACAGGGCAAGGTAAAACAATAGTTTGGGGGGAGGAAGTCATTTATTATGACTACTTACAAGTGTGTAGGGCCACTGGGTAGTTCTTGTGATTTCGTTGGACTTACTCACCTGTGGCTCAGGTTGGTAAGCCTTGCTGATCTTAGCTGAACTTTTGTCAAATATTTTGGAGTTGGCTGGCTACAGGCTGCTGAGGATGGTCTCAGATAGAACCCGCATTTCTTCCACTTAGTCTCATCCTTGAACACAACCGGCCTTGTTCCCATAGCCATGGTAGGCAGAGAGTATGGGTGTGAGTCGTGCTTCTTTAGGTCTAGATGTGGAACGGGCATGTGGGCATTTCCATAACATTGTTGGCAAAAGTAAGTCCTAAGGCCAGTACAGACTTAAAGGCTGGGGTAATACAATCTAAGTTCAGGGAAGGGTCACTGGGAACATTATCAAATCACATTACTACAATTATTTTATATTTTAAGATTATTCACTTTGATCATGTGACACAATAAAGGTACTTTTTTTTTTCACCCTTCAGATAAACGAATCCAGCTGTACATGAAAAGCCTGCTTTGTCTTCCAAGCCCACAAAAGTGTATGCCTCCCATTCCAGGAGGCCTTGCTGTCATCCAGCAGGAGCTCGAGGTGCTAGGGTCCCGATATGTTAACATTGTGAACCTCAACAAACAAGTGTATGGACCATTTTATGCAAATATACTCCGAAAGCTGCTCTTTGGAGAAGAAGCCATGGGGAAGGTGGATGCTTCACCTCCAACTAACTGAAGAGGAACTGATATGGAAGAAGATATGAGAAACCCAGCCCTTTGGTACCCAGTCCCATTTCTATGGCATTACAGATACAGCACATTCTTAGTACTGTCTGTGGCACAGTGTTAGCCCAAATGTGTATAATCTGGTAATGTTAGAGCAGTACTGAAGACCCACACATCCCTTACAGCCTCTTTGTATATCATTTTCAAGTTTAAAACACACATTTTTAATGAGTGAACAAAAAGGAATTTTTAATTACCTATCCAATTCTGGTGTTTTCTTAAGCATTTGCATTTGTTTGCCCTCTAAAGATCTGGTCTACTCATTTGTCACTATCATACCTAATAACTTCTAATTTTCTACAACTTCTTAAAGGGTGGAAAGTTGTGAGGACAACTAAAGGAATTGATATTCTGAATAAATGATGCAACATAAGCATAATTGTATTGGAAATGTACCATTACTTTTTACTGATACAGCAATTTACATAGTAAGTCCTCCAGTTTCCACAAACATACCAAATCATATTTTGTAATACCAATTGTCAGTATTTATTTAGAAGTTAAATTAATTCAGTACATTTAATGCTGTATATATATTATATATATTTTCGATAAACCCTTCCATGTTTGTTAATGAAAAAAGAAATATATCCTTTTCTTCTACAATGTTATTCTAGAGGTTGGGTCCTTCTTATAAATTTATCTACTCTCTGAGAGAAAAACAAATTTGCACAGATATATCAGTGAATGCCTCTGCAGCATATTCACAGGTTTATAGAAGATTTTGATATTTTTATGAAAGGCAAGGCTGATTTGAATCAGCTGCCTTGTAAAAAGAGAAGTTTACAATAAAAATGAGATCCTATTCCTGATGAAGTTCACATCTAAAAAAACACAAACTGTGGGTTTCTGAACCATATAACTTAACCTAGCAAATGCCTTTTGTGCTAAGCAAATCTTGACCTGCTGTGACCACAGTGCTCTTGTTAAGTAGCAACAATTAGCCATTCCTGAGCATGAATGGAGCCCAGCACAGCTGGATGGTAGCTGTCATTGGATTTTAGAGAGGTTTAGCTTCTTCCAGAATCATTCATTTTTGGCAGGCTGAAGGAAGTGCTACAGGCTGGGGACACTGGGTTTGGAAAGTACTTCAGCTGGAAACATGTTTTCAATTGTTTTGTTTTCCAAGGGCCCATTGGACATCAGCAATTTGGTGGAGAAGAGTGGGTAAGAAGTAAAATGAGTACTCCTTTTTTCCTCAACTTCTTTTTCCTCACCTCAACCTCCACCCTTAGGGTGTTCCTGCAGAAACAACTGTGTACATGAATGATCTCCTGATACTTGGGAAGATCTGCTAAAAACTTTAGGAAATCCCAAACATCAGCTTTCCTCTCAATGTCCAAGAGAGAACACAGCCATTCTATCTATGTAAGCAGCTGTTATTAGTGGATTTTCCTAAAGAGCTCACCCTGATCTGACCCATTTTGTCCTCCTGCAGTTCTGGTCTGCCATGCTTCTCTATGCTTAGAAACCACACGGTGCTGAAGACTTCTGTCTTCATTTTTTTTTCTCTGAAGCTGAAGTTATTCTGAGCTATGATCATGTGGGGGGCCTGGCAGTGGGGAGGAAGGGAATTGTTAGGTAGTATGCATTTTTTGTTGCTTTCTGGAGTGAATGGTATGTTTAGCAGTTGGTGTATGTTTTTATTATCATATTGGAAGCCAGTTGATATTCACTTATATACTTGATTATACTGCAGGTTGCCTGCAGAGAAAACAATGTGCAAATATTTTAAAACTGCATTTAAAATGAAGGGCATTTTGCTTTTTTTTTTTAAGTGACAAAGTAAATCTGTCTCAAATCTGGATTTAGGCAACTACATTTGTTAGAATTTTAAAAATCATATTCCTTAGTGTGTTTATTTAGCTTTTACTCAAATGTTTACTTCTACTTTTGAGGCTTTCCTAGTATAGTCCTGTTTTGTAATGTAAATTTTATTATCAAGCACCGTATGCACATTTTCATTCTGCTAAAATATATGCACTAAATTTTAAAACATTAAAAATTATTTCAAGAGCACAGTGCTGCCTCTGTTTTCTATATTTGCGTGGCTCAGTCTTGCATGGCATAATGGACAGTATTATAATTACTCTGGAATGATTCTTACATGTAGATGGTCAGAGCCTTACAGACATCCATCAGGTTCTGCTAACTCATTCATTCATTCAACAAGCACCTTATTTAGCATCAACTGAGTGTCAAGAAGTACCCCGCTGCGATATATAGAAGTTGACACAGTTACTGTCCTTAAGCAGTATAAAATTTAGTAAAAAAAAAAGTGTGAACAATTATAGTAAAGTGTAATAAGGGCTATGAAATAACCATGATTCATGCTAGAAAAGAAAAGATTATCAAACTCTAGGTCATGGAGAAGATAATTCTTAGGGTAAAACATGAAGAATACACAGAACCAAAAAATGAAAAAGCTCAAGAGACCAAATACACAGAATACTATGATTTAGAGAAATGGTGAGTTCAGGAACCAACATAAGTGGGGAGAGTGAAATAATGGGAGAAAACAAGACAGTTGAAAAGTTTTTATAGACATCATACTGAGCTAGCTTCCTTCCTTCCTTCCTTCTATCCCTTTCTTCCTTCTTCCCTCTCTCCTTTCCTTTCCTTTTGTTCTTTGAAGAATATAGGATAAAGTAGCATTGAATCTTTGAAACAGAAGGTCAAGAACTAATTTATGTGTTGTATGTGTATGCACACATACTCACACAGGAACACAGAAATAAAAATCAGCTCTGGATAATTGACATAGTGAAGGAGTTTTTGGTTGTATAGACAACACTAATTAGAGGTAGCAGGAACCAAAGCAATCCAAGTCACAGGAATCTAGCCACACTGTGATTGATTTCTGAACTGTCTTGTTTCTTTGCTTCATTGGCTTAAGGTGGTATTCCTAAACATCAAAATTCCCTGAGTGAGACTAGATCAACTCCCTACACTGTAAATTAATTGTAGGGCATGGAATGAGGGAGTAGAAACCTGGCGGGACCTAGTTGGGAAAAGTTCCTTTTGGAAAGAGTATACTTAGGAGCAGAAAAAGACAACAAAACCACTATAACATGTACTCATGAGGTTTCTAAAATTTGAATGTGAGAAAAGTATGAGGAGAGCACTCATCCCAGCGGTGGTTCTGAGATATCCTGATCCAAAAGATGATGTAAGGAAAGACAGTCATGTGAAGTCAGCCTTTATTAGACTTTGCAGACAAACTGCTAAACAAACAATACCCAAGTCCCAGCAGTCCAAGGGTAAGATTATTTCTCAAAGCAAGGAGTGCGACGGTGGAGTGTACTCTACGTCTACTCCATTCAGCCATCAGAGACTCAACTTCTATCCATCCCATGGCTTAGCTCTCTCCTAGATCCTGAGTCTCCACTCATAGGTGAGGTGGGGAGGAAAGCTCACCATTTCCCCTCAGAATTTAATCTTGGGGCCTCATCTGAAGGCAAGGGAGGTTGGCCTGGCTATTGGTGAGCAGTAACAGTCTCTAACAGTCTCTACTTCAGATCCCCAAAGTTTCCTTGAATAAGCCCCATTGAATTTTTCTCTCCACAGAATGAGATTGAAAATCTTGTGTCTACTCTGATCTCTTAGGGTTAAATATCAAGAGCATCATGAAAAGAGGATTTTGAAGCCAGGTCCAGGGTAATCAATGGAGAGTTCTGTGGTTGATTGGCCAAGTCTGCCACAAATGTGGAGGATGCTAGACTCTGTATAAAATATTTTTGCTTCACATTTGCATCTTTCTCAAGATGAAATTTCTCCCGTTGGGGCTGTTAAATTCCAAAATTCTCAACTCATCATTTAGTAATAGTATAAGACTAAGAGTCATAAGGTCTGAGTTTGAATTTACTCATATTTCATAGCCAGAGGATCTCAATTCATCTTTTGCTCTCTCTGAACCTGTTTTCTAATCTTCTTATCAGACAACGCTATCATACACAACTGTGAGATCAAATTAGGTGTATATGAAATTATCTTCCAGCTTGAAGCATAATGGGGTCCAGAATACATGATAATAACTCTTAATTTTTGAGTCCTAAGTATCTTTCAAGCTTCAAGGGGTTTTAGTGTTTTGAAATGTGATGATTAAGTTCTTAACTATGTTCGAACAAAAATTTGTTATATCCCATCAGAACCATGGCTCATTAAGCCCAACATTGTCATTGGCAGAGAAACTCAAGGGTATGCCGAACAGAAGTCTATAGCTGTTGTCCTTGATGTTAACTTCAAAGGACAATGACAAAACATATCATATTCTCATTTTACTTTGTAGTCAATTATGACTTTATCCTGCATGACTTAATACAACCTTGCAAAAACTATTTTTTATGACCACCTTGTGCACTCTTGTTCTCTAAACATTCTTTTTTATTTCTAAGATTTCTTTTTTGTTGTTTCTTTTTTTAATTTAATTTAATTTTATTTGTGAACATACTGTACAGAGGGGTTACAATTACATGGGCAGGATAATGCGTACATTTCTTTTTTTTTGGGGGGTCCAGTCGTGGGGCCTGAACTCTGGGCCTGGGCACTGTCCCTCAGCTCTTCAGCTCAAGGCTAGCGCTCTACCACTTGAGCCACAGTGCCACTTTATGTGGTGCTGAGGAATCGAACCTAGGGCCTCAGGCATGCAAGGCAAGTGCTCTACCACTGAGCCACCTTCCCAGCCCCTAATGCGTACATTTCTTACCAAGCATTGCAGCCTCCTCCTATTTCTATGTTTGCCTTTCAGATTTCAAGGAGGAAGGAATATAGGAACTAGATAGAAGGCTTTAAACATGGGAATCTAAGTAGCTGCATTTACAGGTGCTCTGGAGAAGCTGAATACAATTGTTTATTTCTTTAAGAAATAATAGCCATCAAGCACATACTATGATGCTAAGAACTTTGTATATATATATATATATATATATATATATATATATATGAGAGAGTGTGCCTCATATATATAAAGTTATATATTTATAAAATAGATACAATCTATAATATATTCTTATAGAACTACTGTGGGGCAGTTTCTATCATTATTTCTGTGTGTGCAAATGAGTTTCAAGAACCTTAAAGAACTTGCCCAAGGCTGGGCACCAGGTATTCACACCTGTAATTAATTCTAACTACTCTGAAAGCTAAGATCTGAGGTTCACAGTTTGAAACCAGAGTAGGCAGCAAAATCTCTAACACCCTTTATCTCCAATTAACCACCAGAAAGCCAGAAGTGGATCTGTGGCTCATAGATTGTCAGCCTTGAGCAAAAACACAAAAGGACAATGCCTGGGTCCCAGTTTCAAACTCCAGTAAGGATGCACCACTTGCCCAATGTCACAAAGCTATTAAGTATATTTGAAGAAAAGAAAGGTGTTTACCCTTGAAATGTGTACTCTTTCCTATCGGCTGGCTATCCTGGTTCCTACGATCCATCAAAACCATTTCTCAGGCTGGGGGCATAGCTCAAGAGGTAGAGCATTTGCCTAGCTGGTGTGAGACCCTGGGTTGAATCTGAGGATTCAGTTTACCTCTCAGCTTCTGTGGCTGTTTTCCCTTCTGGTATTTCTTAATTGCAAATGTCTTGAGAGAGAAATTTTGCTTCCATACACTCCCATCCTGGTAAGGTTCACACACAGTGAGCCTCCATGGTGTTCTACACCCTGCCTTCACGGCGGTTGGAGAGTACCTGGCCTTGCTTTTGACTGGACGATGTCACATGACACAAAGCAAGACTTTTTCAGAGACAGGGCTGAGGCATAGCAGGCAGCTGAAGGCTTTTTTGGACTGTTCATTCTTGCTCAGAATGTAGATTATTCTTATTATAATATTTAGAAATTTTGGTTCCTCCTCACCTATTTATGAGGTGACAGATACCAAGGATTTCCCCTCTGCCCTCACCTTTTCAGATTCAAGAATGGCTTTCCTCTAGCCCTCCTTCTCATCTTTTTCAACTACACTTATCCAGATATTTTAATCAGAATTCTTCCAGTCTAAGTGCACCTTGGTTTTAAGAAGAGAGGATTCTGGTTCTCATTTCTTGATGCTGGAGCCTCCCAGAACCTGTCTAAGTTAACATAGTATAAAGGCTGAAAATGGTCCAGCTGTGCTGGATCTTTCTATCCTTATCTACAGACAAGTCCTTTGACAAAAACCTAGCATGGGAGTACTCTGTTGACATCTTCTGCCTCCCCTCACGGTTGGTGTGGTATTAAGATAGAGTGGTTAAAAGTACGGCCCCCGGGGTCAGGTAATTATGAATATAACTTCCGCCTTTGCCTAGACAAATTTCTTCGCAGTGTGAGCCTCTCAATTGTCAAGTAGGGATAATCATTCTTATCCCCCAGGGGTTGATCATTCAATTAGAGAATATATTTTAAAAGTAACACACGAGCAGAAAAAGCCAGAAATGGTGCCGTGACTCAAGTGGTAGAGTGCTAGCCTTGAGCTGAAGAGCTGAGAGACAGCACCCAGGCCCAGAGTTCAAACCTAACCACTGGCAAAAAAAAAAAAAAGTAACATACAGCAAATGAGAACTCCCACTAACATTCCAGGGCCCAGCCTGGATTCCTCCACTTTTCCCTTTGCTCTTTAAAAAAAAAAATATGTTCCCTATTCTCCCACCTCTGCCTCATGGCATTGGTTAGTTTTTTATCTATCACAGTAAATTTATGGAAGTGTTGGTAAGTATTTTTTCCCTCTGGGGATCTCTCAGTCCTCTATTCAAACCAGCAATCTTTTTGTTCTACTAATTCAGGAAAAGCATGTAACAAAATGCAAAGCTTTCCTTGGCTGTATGTATGCATGTATGTATGTATTTCTTCCAGGAGTTTGCACTCAAGAGATTTATGCTTGTTTGGCTAGCTTACTCAGCTGGTGATCTACCTATCACTTGAGCCACACTTCCAGGCCAGTTTTTTGGCTGGTTATTTTGAAGGTGAAATTTCAAAGACTTTTCTGCCTGGACCGGCTTTGAACTGTGATCTTCTGGATCTCAGCCTTCCAAGTTGCTAGCATTACAAGTGTGAGCCACCCCGTGCCTGGTTCTTCCTGGCTTTTGGGCTTCAAAAATTCAACCTCATAGGCTATGAGAGGAAGTCACGGATTTAACCCAGGATACAAGTGTAATGCAGGAAAGACTGAAGGAGCTGTGGTCACTGTGGCCTAATGATCAGCATGCATCACTCTGCAAATGTTAGCCAACAGTTGCCATGGAAAACTTGGAAACTACTGCTAGCAGAGCTTTCTACTTTTCAAGGGGCAAAAAATCAGAATAAACAGAATATAACATCAAATTTATTATCACCCATTGCACTTTCATCTTTCAAATGATGCAGCAATAATTCATCCAAAACCAATGGGTTAGAATGAGGGAACACAAACACAAACTAGACAGTTCCTGTTTTGGAGCCCACAGTCGGAAGAACTGAAACACAGGATTGCAGTTTGGAGCAACAGACAACAGCAACAGCTGCCACTGAGAACTTGATAGAAATGCAAAGTTGTAGGCCCAGCCTGCCTAATCAGAGAGCTGAGATTGATTTAACATACTTCTGGAAACTGATCCATGCTACTCTTGGAGAACCATCTAGATAGTGGAAAGCTAAGAGGACCTTGTAACAAAGAGCCAATACACACCTGAGCCAAACCGCCCTCCTCTGCCATTTATAAATCATTTGTAATCCTTTCCAGGCTGGATTGTAAATACAGTGCTCTCTAGTAATTCACAAGGGTCATAGGGTGGTTCTTCATTTTCTTTTTCTTTTCTTTCTCCACCTACTTTCAGGTTTTCATCAGTATATAAGAATACCAGCAGCTGGGCACCAGTGGCTCACACCTGTAATCCTAGCTACTCAGGAGGCTGAGATCTAAAGATCACGGTTCAAAGCCAGCCTGGTCAGGAAAGTCTGTGAGACTCTTATCTCCAATAAACCACGCAGAAAACCAGAAGTGGCACTGTGGCTCAAGTGGTGGAGTACTAGCCTTGAGCTGAAGAGCTGAGGGACAGTGCCCAGGCCCAGAGTTCAAGCCCCATGACCAACAACAACAACAAAAAAAGAATACAAGCAGTAAAATCAAGCACCTAATTTTAATATTAGAATAATGTGGTATAAGGGCTACACATATATTAACAAATTTTCATAACTTTTTTTTTCTTTTTAAGATAGGGTTTTACTACATAACCCAGGCTGGCCTGAAACTTAATTCTCCTTCCTTAGTTTCTGGAGTGCTGGGGTTACAGGCATGGATCACCACATGGCTTTTGACATTTGTGTCTGTGTGTGTGTGTGTGTGTGTGTAGTAAAATATACCTAAAATTCCCTATTTTAACCATTAACAATGCTGTGTAGTTCAACAGTACTGTTATTCACATTGTTTCACAAACATCACCATTTTCCATCTCCAGATTTTTTGTATCATTAAAAACTGAAATTCTTACCAGCACAACTATGTTTATTGCAGCATTATTTACCATAGCTAAGATATGGAACCAACCCAGATGCCCCTCAGTAGATGAATGGAGCAAGAAAATGTGGTATATATACACAATGGAATTCTATGCCTCTATCAGAAAGAATGACATTGCCCCATTTGTTAGGAAATGGAAGAACTTGGAAAAAATTATATTAAGTGAATAAGCCAGGCCCAAAGAAACATAGGTCCCATGGTTTCCCTTATTTGCAATATCTAGTATATGTATGAGTCAAGAGGAAAAGGTCAGATAATGTGATGTCAGGAAAATGAACCCTTAGATATGTATTTTAATGTTTTTTTTCTTTCATGCATTTGTTTCTAACGCATCTATAAGATTATCTCTTTGTTGCTTTGTATGTCCCTCCCCCACAGTATAACCCCTGCTTTCACTATATTTGATGTCGGTATAACTTGTGGAGGAGATGGGGAAAAACAAGTCGTTTAAGGATACAGGTGGACCTGTTGCAACAATGAGAAGTACAAATTGTCATGTCGAAAACAAGCTTTACAACGTTGGTGGGGCGGGGGGAGGCTGGGAAGGGATGTGAAGGGTAAACAAAGGAGGAGGCTGCAATGCTTGATAAGAAATGTACTCATTATCCTGCCCATGTAATTGTAACCCCTCTGTACAGTATGTTCACAAAAAAAAACAAACAAAAAACTGAAATTCTCTTAAACAATTGTTGGTACTTTTTTTTTCTCGCCAATGAGATTTCATTTCTATTAACTTGTATAAATTAACGTTTTAAATTGGGGAGACCAATCTTTTGTCTTCTACCACCTTATGCTTTTTAAAGTACCTCTCCTGGACTGGGCATAATGGCCTATGTAAGCAATCCCAGTTTCTAGGGCAGTGGAGGTTGGGAGGATCTCGGTTTGAGGGCAGTCCAGGCAAAACCCAAGACTTCCACCTAAAGAAATAACTGAGGTACGGTGACTCAGGACTGTGTTTAAGGGTATGTCAGGGGCATACGTACAAGATTAAAGCCGGAGGCCCTCCTGGGCAAAGAACTGCAAACTCTCTTTTAAAGCTAATGAAACATCAAAAGTGACTGGGTGCAGATATATATATATATATATATATATATATATATATATATATATAACTATATATTCAAAAACCCTGTTCCAGGTAATTTGAATCTCAAATTTTAAATTCTTTCATGGAATCACAGTCCATATTTAGGATCCCATTATCCGATTCTTTATGATTTGTGTGGCCATCCTTGCGATCCCTCATCAACCCAATCTTGTGGGTAATATTCTTTCATTTTCTGCTACGGCTTTAACACTGAAATAGTTCATCGCCAGAGTTGCGCAAACGCCGTTTGTAATTCTTTTGAAATTACTGTTAAAAATGTCAACCCGCTGCGTGTTGGTGCTTCCCGGAGGGCCGACGGGCAAGTACCGTCGGCAGCGTTCGGGTTGGGGGGGGGCGATGACAAGGACCAGGGCCACCGACCCACACTAGGGGGCGCGGTTTCCCGGCTTCGCCTCAACCACATCCGGGTTCCACCACAGGTTCCGGCTCGGGAGAAGGCGGAACCTTTCTAACGCGTCTCCAATCAACAAGTGCGGCGGGGACGCTAAAGGCCGCCGCGCATCGCTCTCCCGGCGCGCGCTGCAGTTAGTTTGCTTGGGAAAGTGAAGGCGAGCTTCGAAAGAAGGCCGGCCTTTCTCCCGCTGTAGTGACGTGGAACGACGAAGCGTCCACATGGACGTCCTGGCGGAAGAGTTTGGGAGCCTGACCCCCGAGCAGCTGGCGGCGCCGATCCCAACGGTGGAGGTAAGTGCTGTGAACCGAGAGGAGCGGAAGAGGCCGCCGGCATCCGAGGAGGCGTTGTCGGGGGTGGGGGGTGGGGGTGGTTAGTCGTGACCGTGGTGAGGGGCGGGGCGGTAGCTTCTGAGCATGCGTGTGAGGCCTTCCTGCGCTGGTGTCCCGGCACCCGCGCATGCGCATCGTTGCGGGTCCGGCCTCCGCGTACACGTGGGGAGCCGACCTGAACGATCTGTCCTGTTGCTACCCCGGTTGTGAAGCGCAGCCGGTGGCTTTGCGGGTGACCCGCTCTGGGCGACCTGTTCTACCCTATCGGCTTGATAGAGAAGGAGACCGAAGACCGTGGAGCTACGCCTCTGAGCTTTCGGGAGAGGAAGCCCTGTGACTCTCATCATCAGTGAACTTTCCAGTTAGAGGCGGCGGTGGATATGTTTTGCTCTCGGGAAAGGCTCCTAAGCCTTTCTGAACCTTGAGATGTGTGTTGCCAGGGGGTGGAGAGATGGAAAGTTGAAAGATAGATTAGATCTGGCCGCGTGAAAGCCAGATACTTGAAACCTCACCCTAAGACCATCGGACGTTTCTGAGGACTTGAAACCAGCAGTTGGAGGGTGAAAGGAAGGAGGGGGAGGATGAAGGATAGCTAGGTGAGGGTACTGATGACCAAGTGTTTGTGTTAAACGTCTGAAGGAGTCAAGACTTTATCTCTGATGGATCTTAAGATGCTTTTGACAAGTTTAAAGAAGAGTGCAGCGATCCTTGCCTGGGATTGTAAGAAGCCTTTTCTTTTGTCCAGCTCAGTGGCTCACACTGGGGAGACTAAGATCAAGACAACAGCGGTTCAAGAATAGTCTGAGCAAAAAAATTAGCCAGATTCCTATCTCAACGGGAAAAAAATAAAACCAGTGGTCCTGCCTGTCATCCTAGCTACAGTGGGAAGCATAAATACCATTATCCAGGCCAGTCCTGGAAAAAAGAAGGACCTTAACCCAAAGTAATGAAAGCAAAATGGACTAGACGTCTACCTCAAAGGATAGAAGATCTGACTAACAAGTAAAAGATCCAAGTTCAAACCCCAGGACTGCTACACAAACAAATAAATGCACTTCATTATTGTTACTTTGCAGCTTAGCGAGGTTGAATTATATTCCATCCTGTTATCATTAACTAGCATTTTATCAAGCACTGTGTGCCAGGCTGTGTTTAGCTATTACATGCATTATGCTATTTAATAAATAACAAATTAAGCACTCTTTTCACTGCCATTTTGCCCAAGTGCTGGTGATTAAGGAGCTTAATCCAGTGTTAAAAAGCTGGTAAATGGTGAATCTGGAATTTGGACTCCTGTCAGTCTGACTCCAGAATCTTCATACATTCTGAATAGACTCTCTATAAGGCTTATAATTCTTGTAAGAACTTGCATGGTGATGAGACCCATTTTCTCCCATCCAAGTACTTACCAGGCCCGGCCCTGCTTAGCTTCGGAGATCAGATGAGATTGGGCGCGTTCAGGGTAGTATGGCCGTAGATGAGACCCATTTTCTTTTTCTTCTTTTTACATTTTTAAACTTTTTATGGAGGTAATATTGAGAGGGATTACAGTTACATTATTTAGGCAAAGAGGACATTTCTTTTTAGACAATGTCACTCCTTTCCTCTTTTTTTTCTTTTAAATTAGTGCTGGGATTTGAACTTAATGGCCTTTTTTCTTAACTTTTTTAAATTACCCCTTGAGCCACTCTTCCCTCCACTTCTGCTCTTTGCTGGATAATTGGAGATATGAGTCTCCCAGATTTGTCTGCCTGAGCTGGCTTTGAACTTTGATCCTCAGATCTCAGCTCAAGTAGTTAGGATTACAGGTATGAACCATCAGCACCAGGCTTCAGCCTATTTTGGCTTTTATTTTTCAGGTAGGGTTTCATTTTTGCCTGATGCCATCTAAGATTACAGATGTGCACCTCCACAATGGGCCCACTATTCCAGTTTTCTGATTCAGGAAGAACAGTTCCTTTTTCCCTGTACTCTGCATATCATACCTTGAATGTCCTGCCTTCTAACTACAAACAAATGTGAAACTTCCTGCTGCCCTCTCACTAGTAGCAATTGTCACCTCTTACACCTTTCCTGTCTTACCTGGCAACTGACTTGTCCCACTCCTATCTGTTCTGTTTCTTGTAGTCAGATATCTGTCTGAACACACATGTGTATTTATCTTACTCTGTTGCTTAAAGGTCTTCTGTAGCACCAGGTACAGGTGGTTTATGCTACTTAAGAGGCTGAGATCTGAGAATGGCAGTTTGATGCCAGCTTGGGCAGGAAAGTCTGTGAGACACTTTTCTCCAGTTAAGCAATAAAAAAGCTGGAAGTGGAGTTGTTGCTCAAGTGGTAGAGTGCTACCCTTGAGCCCAAAAACTTAGGGATAGTGACGGGCTTTGAGTTCAAGCCCCAGAATCAACCAAAAAAAAATTATAAAATATAAAAAGAATTATCAAGTCACATTATATTTAGGAAATCTGTGGTATTAAGGTGTGTATTTATATATATGTACATGGTGCATATTTACATAGTTTCCATCAAAGTACTTAGAATTTATGAGTTATTCTTTTTGGGGGAGGGGGCAGGTGCAAGTCCTAGGGCTTCAACTCAAGCAACTCAGATGCTGTCTCGGAGCTTTTTTTTTCCTCAAGGCTAACACTCTACCACTTCGGCTACAGCTCCACTTCCAGCTTTTTTTTTTTTCTTTCTGGCTAATGGGAAATAAGAGGCTCATTGATTTTTCTACCTGGGCTAGCTTTGAATATTGATCCTCAGATATAGTCTCCTGAGTAGTTAGGAGTACAGGCATGTACTCCACTAGCAGCCAGCTCTTTTTGTTTTGATGACTTTCTTTGGTCACTATGATAGTCATTCTAAGTACATTGAAATAATTTGTAAAAGTATTGTACTTGCTGACACAGAGTTGTAATGTTTTTACTGTTTGATCCACAGGAAAAATGGAGGCTGCTTCCAGCATTTTTAAAGGTAATTGTTTAACATTTAATAATAGTTATTTTCACATGATAAAAAATAAGTGGCTTTTTGTTCAGACTGACTCTCACCAATTCACATTTATTTGACAGTAAAAAGAAATCAAGTGCTGATATATTTTGCAACATGAATGAAGGTTATACCTAAATGAAAAAATGCAAACTTGAAATATGTTTAGAGTTTTGTTCAGTTTACTCGGGTGTCCAGGCCAAAGGGAGACAAAGTGCTGGGAGTACTGATAGGTTCAGATTTCTGACCATGATGAAAGTTATGTCAAGGATTTGGCCTTTCTTCTATAAGAAGCTGATGAAGTTTTAAGTGAAAGAGTGACCAGCGATAGAAGGAAGCAGTGGAGGGGATGAGATTGATGGGAATACACTGCAGACATTTAAAAATGAACCCCCCCCCCACCTTCATGTGTAACTAGTTAAAAAATATATAGGCAAGTTTAGAAGCATGGCACTTTGACTCACACTTGTAATCCCAACTACTTGGGAGGTACAGGAGGATTGCAGTTAGAGGCCAGCCCTGGCAAAAAGTTAGTGAGACATCATCTCAACAAAAAAAGCTGGGCATTGTGGTGCCCTTGTGTCATCCCAACTCCACAGAAAGCTTGCGTAGGAGGACTGAGGTCCAGGCCAGCCTGGGCAGCCACAAAAATAAGGCAGAAAAGGGCTGGGGGGCATGGCTCATGAAGTAGAGCACCTGTCTGGCAAGCAAGTTGAAATTCCAGTATCTTTGCCAATGTCCTCCAAGTTAACACATTTAAAGAAAGAATTGACTTTAATTTGCAATCCTAGAATCCGGCAAAACCTCGTCCCCTATAATCTGAGTGTTCTGATGAGCCAACCAAAGGGGCTGAGCTTTAGGCAGAAATAGGTAGAAGAAAACAAGAAGAAGGAATGAGAGGTGGTTTAGTTATCTCCATTTTAAGAGGACTTTCTGCCATGGCAGCCACATAAACTAGTCCCCTTCTGACTGGTTGCTATGGATTTCCTCCTGTGGAATGCCATCTATTTTACATTCAAGTTGATTTGATGACACTTAGCACAAGTAACTCCATGCTGCTTGGTCTGATCTTTCGGTGCCTAGTGCTAGGAGACAAGTGACGAATAGTAGCCTTGTTTGACTTTGCTTCACAAGACAAAAAAAGAGACTTTGTGAAAGGTTGAAAAATTGGTGCTCAATTGCGCCATCCACTCTGAATTTAGTATTCTATATGGAGTCAGTAGATAGATTCAGATTCTGATTCTGACATTGTGAATTCCGAAGGCCAGATTACTTCTACAAAGTTGGAGGGTGCCTTGGTAAGATCGTGGAGAAAATGAATGAGATTAATGAAAAATTAATATGGAATTAATCCACATGAATGAAGCATATTGCTAAATTAAAACCCATGGTTGTTTTATCATGAGTTTTGAGGAAAATCTCATTGTTTCTTTTGAATGAATTATATAATCTGATATTTTGTCAGTATAATCTGCTAGTATTTTTTTTCTGTTGTAGGTTAAAGGCCTTGTGAAACAGCATATAGACTCATTCAACTATTTTATTAATGTGGAGGTGAGCATCTTAGAAGTAGATATAGCCGAGAAATAATTGGAAGCCAGAGTCTCATTCCTCATGTTGCTCTTCCCACTGCAGATAAAGAAGATAATGAAAGCCAACGAAAAGGTTACAAGTGATGCTGACCCAATGTGGTACTTAAAGTAAGAAGCCAACTACCCTGCTATGCTTCTGCTTCTCCCCTTCCTTCTCTTCCCTTCCCCCTTCCTTTATCTGTCCTGTCTTTCCCCTCCCCTCCCCTTCTCTAATCAGAAAGTTAGCAGTGATGCCATGCTATTAGCTAGTCTATCAACCTGCCTTCATATTTTCCCACCAGCGTCCTGTTTCTCATACTGAATGAGAAATATGTGATATCCTTCTGGCTTCCTAGTGTCCTTAGTCTGTCGATGGTTGGTCTCCACTGATGTTCATGACTTTTGACAGTTTTGAAGAGTTTGGTCAGTGTTTTTGGAAGGTCCTTCAGTTTGAGTGTACTTGATGTTTACTCATGATTATTATGCATTTGAGGCAAAAATACCACAGAAGCAATTCTTCATGCTGTTTTTACTGATTCATATTGGGAATATGGATGTATTTTATTTCTGTTAAATAGAGTTAAAAATTGGTTCAACTGGTGAAGGTGCTATCTTCCAGCTTTCTTTATTGTAAAGTAATTGTTTTTCCTTTTGCAGTTATTATGTGTCTATGGGGATCCTTTGAAAGAAATCATAATTTCCCCATTGACTTTACTGCACATCAACAGTCTTACTGTGCTGGTTCTTACTGTAGTGTAATGTACTGCTACCTTTGTTTCCATCACACCTTCTGTGATAAGAAGGGCCTGTTCTTTCCTCTCATTAATCCTATACTTATATCAATTTGGGCCATGAATGTTTATTTAATTTTATTGGTTATAATCTAGTCCTGACTTTCTATTGCTCTAGCTGTCTCAGCTCTGAACACATAGAGAGTCTGCAAGTCAACTTCTTTGTTCTTTCCACATGCCTGCATTATTGTTCCAGTACTTCCTGGAGCCATCAGATGTGATAAGTCATCTGTGGTTCTCCCTGTAATAACTAGGAATCAACCATTTCTTCAAAGAGCCCTAGTCTCTTTTATTAGAAAATAAAACAACGTATGGATAGTAGCGTCCCAGTGGACAGATTTAGGAAATGTGTGTGTGTATACTAATACTTACTTATGTACATGTCCCTGCCTCTATAACCTATCCATTGTTTTTGTTTTTTTTTTGTTGGTTGTGGGGCTTGAACTCTGGGCCTGGGCGCTGTCCCTCAGCTCTTCAGCTCAAGGCGAGCGCTCTACCACTTGAGCTACAGAGCCACTTCCGGTTTTCTGGTGGTTTATTGGAGATAGGAGTCTCACGGTCTTTCCTGCCCGGGCTGGCTTTGAACCTCTATCCTCAGATCTCAGCCTCCTGAGTAGCTAGGATTACAGGCGTGAGCCACCAGCGCCTGGCCTAACCTATCCATTTTTGTATGTGTTAAAAACTAAGCAGACTGGTACCTCTGACTCAGATCCAACACTATAGATTCAGTGTAATCTCCCTTATTTGTAACTGACTGTCATCTGTCATCTACAGTCCTAGATAGTATATAAAGTTATTACAGAATTGTTTGCTCATGTGTGTGTGAGAATAAAGTTTACTACTTGAGAGCATTTGTTATGTCGTCTCTTCTGTCTTTAGCCTTATAGCATCCAACTATCAAAGTAATGTTTTCTGAAGTTACTAGGTCATGGGTTCTGTTCTTACCTCCCCTTTGGTGCAGTTATGTTGTTTTAGTTTATTTTTTTATTTTTGGTATGGGTTCTGGGTCTTGAACTCAAGGCCTCAGCAACTCTCACTGAGCTTTTTCACTTGAGCCACAGCTCTGCTTAGTGGTGAATTGGAGATAAGAGTGTCATGGACTTTCCTGCCTGGGTTGACTTCAATTTACAGTCCTCAAATCTCAGCCTCCTGAGTAGCTAGGATTACAGGTATAAATCACTGGTGCTTGGCTACTTATTTTTCAATACAGCATGTTTATACTCCATGTTGGCCTCCCCTGCGTGTAGGTTGACTTTAATTATGCATTTATGTTTTGGATCAACTGCCACAGTATTAAGAGTTATACCACCTGTACAAAACAGTGTTTTCAGAAATTGTTGCTTCCCCTTCCACTATAGCCACTTCCTGTAGGTTATAACATTGCTAGTTTTCACTTTGTCCTTCCTATGAAGGACATATTTTTTTCCTTATGGCCTCTTACTTACAAGTAAGAATACTTGAAGTATCTACCATAATAGTTTTTGCATTTTTTTTAAAACCAGGTATCATTTTTATGGAACCATATTTCCAATATTTTTAGAAAGAGATATTATTTTTGTAAGACACTTTGACAATATTTCTCATTTACAAAACTGCACTATCCTTTCAAAAAGATGTACAATTAATTATATTTTGGTTGTTGTTCATACTAGGATTTGAATTTGGGGCCTCCTGCTTGGGCAGATGCTCTACCACTTGAGCCATGCTTCTCGTCCTTCTTTGCTCTTATTTTTCAGATAGGATCTTACTTTTTTTTTTGTCTGGGGCTGGCTTTAGACTTTGATCTTCCCACTCATTTCTCCTTATAGCTAGGATCACAAATGTATACTGCCACACATTTTGTTTGAAATGGGGTTTAACTTTTTTTCTGGATTAGCTTCAAATTGTGATCATCCTGTTCTCTGCCTTATAAGTAATTCGGCTTACAGGTATGAGCCACATACCTAGCCCTATTAACTTTTTTCGGTTGGTCATTCTTAGCAAAGTAGACATATTTATCAAAGAATATCTTTATATTTGTGGAGAAAACACCTTGATTATACATTATTTGGGGAAGCATAATTGGTAATGAAGTGTTTTGCTTTTCAGATATCTTAATATCTATGTTGGTCTTCCTGATGTTGAAGAAAGCTTCAATGTAACTAGACCAGTGTCCCCTCATGAGGTAATTATATATTGAATTCCTTTGCTGTAGTGCAGGTGATCATCTTGTAATAGATACTGTTAAAAGATTGTTTCAAGACAAATTTTAAAAATCTCCTCTGAAACAAAGGTAACCAAAATAAGCACTAATGTACAAGTTAGGAACTCCTGACCCAAAACTGAACATAGTGATGCTCAGTGGCTCAAGTCTACACAAATGTTCAATATCTAAAAATCTCCAACTCCTCTCACCCCAGCATTTTGGATAGGGATTCTTAACCTATGCAGTAGGGAAGCAATTCTGCCCTGTTTATTTGGTTATGTAATCAGAATCAGCACACACTGTTTCTGTGGCCCTATTTCTGTCCCATTTCTGAGCTCTTTCCAGTCTGGGCTCATCTCCCAGCTGCTTGGCCGCACACAGTATGCTGTTCATTGAAGTCACTCACCCAGCACACTTTGAGAGTTAGCCAGAGATGGTGACAGGCAGAAGAGACCACAAGGACCAGGAGCTCCTCTTTAACAGGAGAGATAGAAGAAAAGAAAATTGAAAAACAAGGTTTTAACAGAGTTCAGATAAAGGGTTGTATGTCCATTTACTGGCTTTTAACTGATCTTTGCTTTCCCCTCACATTCTTCTACTTTGTGTCCGCCCTGGGAATTGAATCCAGAAAGAACATTGATTGTAGCTTCATCTAGCTTGTGTTCAAGCAAAACTAAATGATTGGGTTTTGAAGCATGGGGGCGGGGGGGAGGGGTCTTTAATAAAGAATAAAAGAGATGTTTGGTGTCAGAGTTGTTATGTAAGCAAACTTCAATAGGCAGTAAGATCAAGAAACCAGATATTCTGTAGGCAAGCATTGGTATCATTTAGACATCAAGTGTTTATTGAACATTTATTTTGTGGCTTAACGTTGAAAAAAAAATAGATGCAGTACTCTCCTGAGGCGTTTATACACTGTTACTTCAGAGAGTGAACTAGCAGACAGTGAGACAGAGGCACCAGCATGCAAGCCTGAGTGTCAGAATGGGGACAGGATATGGGGATCGTGTGCACCCACTTTGTCTTCCCCAGCTTCCCATTCCATTTTGTGAGGTCTGGTTTTTCAACAAGTAGGCAGCCAGTTGGCCGTCTCCAAATGATCTTTCTAATGGTATCACTGAGTTCAGAGAAGGGAGCAAAGTATTGGAAGGAGTTCAGGAGTGTGGGAGCCACACTGGTCATAATTCTCTTTCTGATACTGATGAAAGCATGGATGTTACGGCTCTTGGAGAGCTGGGGAGAGTAGAGCAGGTAGGGGCAAGTCCTGAGCCACAGCAGAACTGAGGGAGGTCGGAGCACCCAGCCTATCCTGTGGGAGGAGAGTCGGGGGTGGGGGGCAACAGATGGAGTGGGTTCCCAGTTATGTTTGCCTTTTGGTGTCTTCTTCTCTTGTTATTAGTATTTTTGGTGGCATGAGAGTTTGAGCCCAGGGTTTTGTACTTGCTTGCTAGGCCAACCCCATACCACTTGAGCCACATCTTTAGCTTTTTTTTTTTTTTTTAATCATACCTGTGGAATTTTATTTACATTTGGGTTTGTTTTGGTAAAACTCATGGAATGTTCTTTCTGTCATGGGCATTACATTAACTTTATCAATTTATATATATATATATATGTGTGTGTGTGTATGTGTATATATATATATATATATAATATTATATACCAGGCATGATTCTAAAACTGTATTTTACTACTTTAGAAGTGGAAATCAGGAGGATCATAGTGTGAGGCCAGCCTGCATAAGAAGTTAGCAAGACCCTGTCTCAACAAATACACCAGGCTTAGTGGTTCATATCTGTAATCTCAGCTGTGTTGCAGCTTGGTGAAAATTTGAGGCTTTATAAAACAAACAAACAAAAAACTAAAAAGGATGAGAGCATGGATGGTTGAAGTGGTAAAGTACCTACCTACCAAGCACAAGGCCCTGAATTCAGACCCTACCAACTGTAACGTAAATTAGAGTCAGGATTAGATCTTGGCAGTAGTTTACACTCTGCTTCCATGACAGACCACTGTTGGTCCCCTTGATGATACACTATTCATAAATCATTTTTATTGCTCAGTATGTTGATTACTTTTGTGTTGCTATAACCAAGTGCTTGAGTCAAACAACTTAAGGAGAAAGTATTGATTTTGGCTCATCATTTCAGAAGTTCCCCATCCTTAGTCCTTGGTCTCCTGATTCTGGGCATGTGGTGGGGCAGAGCATCAGAGTGGTAGGAGTATGTGGAAGACAGGGAGCAGAGAGCAGAAGTTACTGGGGACCAGTTGTAACCATCACAGGCACCTCCACCCCCATCCTCAAACCTCCCATGTAAGCCCCACCTCCTAAAATTTCCACCACTTCCCAAACTCTGTTCAGTGCATGATACTATGGGACCTTCATATTAAAGCCAGCACAGACAGCCCTAAAAACAGTAATATGTAGAAATCTTGGGCACTCTTGTAAGGGTAGAAAAAGTATAAATCTAACTACCTTTTGTTCAGTTAAGCCAGAGAGAGAATTTCGCACCATGGCCCTAAGTTGTATGATTGATGTTTAGAGAAATTCTGTTTCAAACTGCATGACTATCCATCGGATAGTCATCAATACAACAGGGACATTGTTGGAAGATTTGGATGTTATTTCCTGTCTCTGCTCCTGGCTCAGGCATGGATCAGGTGTCATCTGTTTTGTCCTCACCAGGTCATGTTTTAGTTTGCTAAAGCATAACCAGCAATTTCTAAAATGCTGCAGATGGTTCAGAAACTGCTTGAAAGATGTATTGAGTGATTTGTGATAGAACATAATAACCAATGGTGAGGGGTTTTGTGATGGTTTTGGTTTCAGGGTGCATGTATACATTCATTGCTGTTACATTTGCTACTATTTGGAATAACATGCCCGGCCACAGCAATTACTTTCCATGGATTCCCTTAGCAAGGAGTCTTAAAGCTAGGCAGCAGTCTGGGATGGAATCAGATCAGTGAGAAGGGAATCAGTCCTAGTTTGTTCCACTTCTTGACTGGCAGGGCAAGAGTCCTCTGGGGGTGCCTAGGTCGATATAGAGCAAGGAGGATGATAACTTCCAGTTCCCAGTGGGAGACAAGATCCACATTCAGCATGGATCATACTTCAACTAGGATCAGAGATCCCAAGGGATCAGGACCCTTTCCTTCTTCAAAAGGAGGACCACTTGCTGTCTGCTTCTGTTCCAGTGCCGTTTGAGGGACATGACTTACTCCGCCCCCATTACTGTGGACATTGAGTACACCCGAGGCAGCCAGAGGATCATTCGAAACGCCCTACCCATAGGCAGGTGAGCAATGAAGCCTGCTGTGGAGCCAGAAGGCCTGCCCAGCCCGTGACGCACCTTGAGCAAGTTACTCACGCCTTATGTCTGAATCTGAACTCTGTGGGAAATGACACCCATCTCAGGGATTAGTTGATGGATCTAAGTGAGTTGTATAAGGCACAGAGTATAGTGTGTAACACAGAGGCATCATTATTCGCTGTCCCTATCATAGAAGCAGTGTGCCTGAGGAACCTCATTGACATTGGCTCCTTCCCATAATTACTATCCCTGCCTTTCCTAACAAGCTACACAGAGATGCAGACCCCCTCTCTGCATCTTTTGTCTAATCATGTACATGGTGTTTTCTCTCATTTTATTTTTAACAGGATGCCCATTATGCTTCGAAGTTCTAACTGCGTTCTGACAGGGAAGACGCCAGCAGAATTTGCAAAACTAAACGAATGTCCTTTAGACCCAGGTATGACTGATATCTTGGATTTACTCCTCATTTCCCCCCCACCTTTTGCTTGGTGGTGGCTATTTTCCTCAAAACAGTCCTAACCTTTCTGCCTTCTAATGAACTTGCTGGATAAAACTATGTTCACAAGGCATCTGAAAATTGGGCTCCAGCTTTATTCTGTTCGTCTGGATTTCTGCAACTATGCCATTTCTTCTTTTGTGGATTTAAAATTTTAATACCCCAAGTTCTGATTTATTGCCATGGTTCCTCAGCCTTTTCTTTGTACCTTTGTTCAGTGGTTTCTGTTGGTTTGCTTAAAATTCAAGAATAATTCTCCAAATGCACTTGTCTAGGCTTGTCTGAAAAAATTCCAGTAGCTTTGCTCATTTTACTGTTTTAAATGCAGTAAATGTGGAAATGAAATTCTGAATTTGTTATTGTTAAATTTTTAAATTCTATTTTTGTACTTATTTCTAAGCAATTTCTTTTGTAATGTCTCAAGACTTAACACTTAGCAGGAAGTTTTTCTGTATGCCTTAACTTATGTTTCACATTGAATTTTTTTAACTGACAAGAGCTATAATTTCTATAGAGTTACACTGATATAGAGTCCCAGAAAATGCTGGAAAGAATTTTACAAACATGACTACTAAATTCTAACAAAATTTTTTGTAAGTCAACCATGTTGCCTTGTTTTGCTGGTGTTCTGCAGGTTAGAGTGTAAAAATGTGTAATAGGTTATATGAGCTTTATTGAATAGGGGGCATTGTTTTGGAAACAATTTGAGACTACTATTATCACCAATTTGTTAGAGAACTTAGAGCAATTTTTTTTTTTTTTGGTCGGTCATGGGGCCTGAACTCTGGACCTGGGCGCTATCCCTGAGCTCTTCATCTCAAGGGTAGTGCTTTACCACTTGAGCCACAGTGCCGCTTCAGCTTTTTCTGCTTATGTGGTGCTGAGGAATCGAACTCAGGGCCTCATGCATGCAAGGCAAGCACTCTACCACTGAGCCACCTGCCTAGCCCGCAAATTTCACTTTATATCAACAATCAGTTATTTCTTTTCTTTTTATAAATTACGTTTTTATTATCTTTTAAGTACAAACTAGTTACCATTTGGCAAAACATTTATGAATACAATGTATCTTTTTTTTTTTATCGTGGGGCTTGAACTCTGGGCCTGGGTGCTGTCCCTGAGCTCTTCAGCTCAAGGCTAGCGCTCTGCCACTTGAGCCATAGCACCACTTCCGGCTTTTTCTACTTATGTGGTGCTCATGCATGCAAAGCAAAGCATTCTACCACTGAGCCACGTTCCTAGCCCCTACAATGTGTCTTGATCAATGTCATACCTTTCACCATTCTCCCCCATTCCTCTCAACCCTTCCTCTCTCCTCAATTTTGCAGATACATGCTGAATTTTATGTTCTTAAAAGATCTGGGCTTACATATATCTTGTTTCATGTATAGTCCAATGAGAGGAAGTTTGTTCTCAGTAAGTTGATCATTGGTTGACTTGTTTGTAGAACATGTGCTGGCCTGATGTCAGTCTGCTGTAGAGTGGTACTGGAGCCCCTTCACATGAAGTGGTGGCCCGTGCCATGAGGCAGTCATTTCACCCCCTGCTGGCTAAGGAAGAGGTGGTGAAGTCTTTCTTGTTTCCTCTGGGCAGGTGGTTACTTCATCGTGAAAGGAGTTGAAAAAGTGATTCTCATCCAGGAGCAGCTCTCTAAGAACAGGATCATTGTGGAGGCAGATAGGAAAGGGGCTGTTGGAGCATCCGTTACCAGGTATGGGAGGCAGAGAAGTGTTCATGGGAAGCCCAGTGGCCTGCTTTCATACACAAGCAGGCAGTATTTCAGTAACTGCCAGTGTGATTTTTAAATTATCTGCATCTGATATTGGTGTAAATCTGTAACCACAGAGTATTGACTTTATGTAATTTCGTTGATGCAAGTATAGGGACATCATTTGAAAGGTCACTAGTTGTTTTAATTAAGAAATTTGTTTTTGCCTTGTGACAGGATTTGACAGTGTAGCTCCAGCTGATCTTGCTAGAACTACAGACATAGACCATCATATTCAGCTGCATTAAAGAAACTTGAAGGGAAAAAATACCGAAACACCCTTCAGCTTTTCCTACTCCCTCTCACCTTTTGGCTGTTTACATGTATGTTCTTACATCCATTTAAGTGGAGACTATTTTACATATGGTTTTCAACGATTCCTATCATGGACTTAACATCATGTTCTTCGCTTTTCATCACCTGTTTTCACAGTTAACTGCATATCTACAACAACTTCCCTTTAATACTGCTATGACTTTTTCCCCTGGTTTATTATCATTCATAACTTGAAATTTGGAGGTTGGTGAGTTCTGGGAATAGAGATAGGGGGCATAGCTGTCTGTGCGGTAGTTTCTCTTCTGACAATGTATTAGGAGGAACGAGTGTAGTGCAGAGTTTAGAACAGAGTTCCTACAGCTCTCTCTGGTGGAGAAGCAGTTAGCAGCCCTGGCTAATTATTATGAAGCACGTACTCAGAGCAGGTCCTAGGGTCCTTTATACATATTTATTTCATCGTCATCTCCATCTTCAAGGTGAATGGTCCTATCTTCCTTTGATAAGTGAGCTCAGAGTCACCTTGACTGTAAGAGCAGCCTTTGAACCCATGCCTTTCCCTTATGCACAGTTTCACAGCCAATAAATCTGAATTTAGATTCTAATTATTTCTGGCTCTGACACTGCATAGGCAACTTAGCCTCTCTGAGTGGGTAACATACATAGAATGTAACCAGCAACCAGTATGTATTACTATTGTGGTTAATATAGCCTTTCTGTGCTCATTAAAACATTAGGAATTTTATACCTAATAAAGGTTATCAATTGGAGATCCTTAGGCTCCTTTTTTTTCCCTAGCTTCACTATAATTTATTAATTAATTGTAAAACATATTTCTTCGTAAAGTATGGCTCAGGCTGTTTTGAGGTTTTTCTCTTCAAGTACACTGTACAATCTGTCATGAATATATACCTTACAGTGAGAGTAAGTCAGGTGGAATCAAAGTACAATAGGTCAAAGGACATTACCACTTATCCCCCACAAATTTCTACCATAATCTCAAAGCTAAAGAAACGTTTATTAAAAAAAAAAGAAACATTTATAGATTTGGAAATGTTTATGGAAGTGGCTATGGAAGGGCAGGTTGTATATCTTTTTGTCATCATTGTTGTTGATTTTTTTTTGTTTTTGTTGGTCATGGGGCTTGAACTCAGGGTCTAGGCACTGTTCTTGAGCTTTTTTACTCAAGGCTAACACTGCCACTTTGGACCATGGTGCCACTTCCACTTTTCTGGTGGTTTATTGGAGATAAGTCTCACAGACTTTTCTGCCCAGATTGGCTTTGAACTGTGATCCTCAGATCTCAGCCTCCTGAGTAGCTAGGATTACAGGTATGAGCCACTGGCACCTGACTCATTGTTTGTTTGTTTGTTTGTTTTTTGCCAGTATTATAGCTTGAACTCAGAGCTTTACATTCACTTGGCTTTTATACTCAAGGCTAATGTGCTCCCATTTGAGCCACAACTCTACTTCCAGCTTTTTGGTTTTTTTTTTTTGGGTCTAGTCGTGGGGCCTGAACTCTGGGCCTGGGCGCTGTCCCTCAGCTCTTCAGCTCAAGGCTAGTGCTCTACCACTTGAGCCACAGCGCCACTTCCGGCTTTTTTCTTTCTGCTTATGTGGTGCTGAGGAATTGAACCCAGGGCCTCATGCATGCAAGGCAAGCACTCTACCACTGAGCCACCTTCCCAGCCCCGAGCTTTTTGGTTTTTTAATTGGAGCTAAGAGTCTCAGACTTTCCTGCCCAGCCTGACTTCCCACTGAGATCTTAGATCTCATCCTCCTAAATAACTAGGACTATAAATATGAGCCACCAGTGCCCAACAGGATGTATTTTTGAAAAATACTTATCTGAAAGGACTTTACTGATGATTGTTGAATCTTGCTGATTGATGAATCTTAGTGATTGAGAGCCATGGCCCTGCGTGTTACTGAGCGAGAACACCATTTACCTAACTTGTGTTTACTTGTAGCTCCACCCATGAAAAGAAAAGCAGAACCAATATGGCAGTGAAGCAGGGGCGGTTCTATTTGAGGCACAACACATTATCTGAAGACATACCCATTGTGATCATATTTAAGGTAAGCTGCAGCTCATCTGAAAACTAAAATACTTTCTCTGATTTATTGTCATACATAATTAGAAATATGGAAGGTTAGAAATAGAAAAGTCTTTGGCATAGATGGATTTTAAATTGATAGTTAATAAATCTGTACTTTTTCTATTTTTACGAAGTAGATACCTAGAAGTACAGGATGAATAAGCCTCCAGCTTATGATGTTGCTAACCACATGCTTCTCCTACCCAGAACTCCATATTACTCATTGCTTGTGCATCTTTCAAGAGATAGTTTAAAATATACAAGAACATTGATATTTCAGTTTTGTCTGATACATCCATGCATACTGTTTTGTGATTAGCTCTTTTTGTTGTTTGTGTCTAACACCTTGGTACTGTTACATTAGCTGTGTGTGTGTAGTACTGGGGCAAGAGCTAGGGCCTCACACTTGGTAGGCATTTGCTCTAATACTAGTCACACTCCCAGACCCAGTGTATTCCTTTGGACAAACTGTCTACTTGTGGGTGTTAACCAGCTCCTAGCTCTCCATGAACCTGCACATCTCTATCTTGCTATTACAAAACTGCTGTAATATCATATCACACAGGGATAAGTATGGTTCTCAGCTGTCCTTACCCTTGTAGGTGATGTTCCTAATAACTCTTCTATCTATAACTCACTTTTTTTTTTTTTAGCTTGTCTGTGAATTGGTAGCAAAGACCCCAAAAGACACTTCCTATAGAAACAGTTTAAATGGTGTACTCTTCTCACTTTATCTGCCCTCAGCTGTCAGTATTTACCTACCCTATCAACAGTTATGTTATTAGTCATTAAGCAAAACAGAGGAGAAAGTCAGAGTTAGGTGGCACAGTTGATCCTCAGTGTTTACAAATTCCATATTTGTGAATTTGCTTCTTTGTTAAAATATATTTAATTGTACCCCAAAATCAATACTTGTGTGACTGGGATGGTAGTTGTATACCACTGTGCCTGACTCAAATAAATGTATTTTAATACAGAAGAACACAAATTAGTATTCTGTATTAATCAATTAAGAAAGATGTGACTGTAGGCTCATAGAAATCTACTCCTGTGTTTCTATCAGGAGCAATGATTCAGTATTTACTAATTATATGTAATTGAATATGAGTTATCAATGCAACTCCTACAAATAATGGTTTGACTGAAAATGGGTATGAAGTGAATCTGAGTGAGTAGTTTAATTGAAATAAAGAGTTCAGAATATTTGAAGATATACTAGGTCCTTCAGATAATTTTAGAGATTGATAATTATCATTCTCATTGATCAACATGGTTTCACTTTTGGGTTAATGTTTCTATCCAGCAGTTTTTGTGATCATGTAAATAAATTCTGAGTTACACTAAGAAATGACAGGAAGAGATCTGCAGGGGTAGAATTCACTAAGCTCCTTAGAAAGGGAAAACTTGTGATTATAACCTCCAAAGGAAGACTAAAGAAGGGATGAGGCTCTATTGTGAAAGGTTTCACCTAGTGGCCAAGTGTGAGGGTCAGGGAGAAAGTTAGGCTCTTTTAACTCAGGCTGGTAGTTGGGGCTAGGGAGTGTGATGTGGTGGTTCCTAGGTATCTAGTGCATGTTGACAAGTCAGGTTAACTTGGGAGATTCCCAAATTCCAAATGCAACTATGGGAAGGGAGTTGTAGGAAATATTTGTGTGTTTTGTACACCTTACTGTACTTTTGAGGTCAGTGTGAGGATCTGTTAGGTGAAGCTGTTTAATGTCTTTCATGATGATTATAACAGGTGCATTACATTGAGAGTCCAAAGGAAATTCTGAAAGACATGAAACATTTACTTCCTTTCCTGGAGGTTTGTATTTTCAAAGCACAGAAGGAATTGGGAATTTTCTTGAAGGGATTCCCACAGTGCCCAAGTGTCTGGTGTACAATTTCATTTATCTGTGTAGAATTATATCTCCAACAGAGGGCAGTATGTTCACAAGTATCCAAAAGGCATTTTTGCAAGTTTTGAACACTTGTAAATGGATAGTACTGCTTTCTCTAGGCCAGTAATTTTAATTGTAATGCCTTTAATCAGACATTATTATAATTATGCATGATGAGATATACTTGTGCATAAATATCTGAAAAGTTTAAGTACTCTCTTTTATGAGGTGACAAAGATTTAGTGAAAGTTTCTTCTGTCAAATTCATTTAATATTTATGTTGTGATATTTATTATGTTTAAATAGATACATACATAGCTGACTTAAATCCTTTTTAGGATAGGGCTGTAAATTAACAGCTGGATGTTGTTTCAGTTGTGGTTTCAAACTTTTCCCTTTTTGGTTATAAAAGAGTACTTCTGTTGCATAAGTTCAGAAAGCTGCTCAGAAGCATAGCCGCATATTCAATATATTTTCCAGATCCTTTTCTTGTGATTTTTGTAACATAAACAATTTTGTTTTTATGTAATAGTGAATTATGAACAGCTTTCTATGTATATCAATAGATGTCTGCTTCATTTTTAGTGAGTATTGGGTAGACGTTGAGTGCTTGTGGTACAGTATTTATGTATCATTTATCTTATTTGTTCTCATTCCTGCACACACCATAGAGTGCGTGTCCTTACACATGTTTGTATGGATGTATTATTTCCTGTGACAGTTTAGTTCTGGGAGTAGACATGTATCTTAAAAACAGAAAAACAAAAAAGTGGGCCCAGCTTGCCAATTTTTTTCCAGAAACATATCTGTTAATAATCTGATAATATATACAAATTAAAATAAGCATTTAAAAATTGGTTCCAATAAGTGGGCTAAATATTTTGGTCATGCACAGTCTTTGGATCTTCAATTTCTTCAGGAGTCTGAGTACACTGACAGGAACCTGTTTGCTACCTGTGGTTTAGACTTTTCCAGCTGGGGGGCAGCAAAGACTATGCCTTGTTTAGAGTCAAACAGATCTACCTTAAATATCAATTTCTCCACTCATTGGCTATGTTTCTTAGAGCAGATTTTCTAATCTCTTTTAAGTCCTGGGTAATTCATCTGGGGCGAGCCTGGGGAAACCCCAAGAGGGTTGTGGAACTCAGTGAAATGGAATACCTAAAAAAAAAATGCCTGAAAGGGGGCGCCCTTCTTCTTTCCTTTGCTCTCCTCACCTACTTACTGTCAGAGCTGGGAAAATAAACTGGGATGCTAGAAAAAGGCACATCATTTCTCTTGTTGTGTTGTGTGGCACTAATACAGACCTTGACAGTCATTAGGACTTGATGGTTGTTGATTGTATCCAACAATTGGTTAAAAGTGACAGAATCAGCAGGGTTTCCAGATTCCATGCTGAGTCTGAGTATGACAGAAAAAACCTTGGAGGCCTAGGTCTGCCTTATTTATGCACTTGAGTCACCACCAAGGCTCTCCTGCCCATGAATCTTCCCACTTTCCTCTTTGCGTTCCCAGGCATTCGGCAGCTGCACTGTGGTGGCCCTCTGTAGCTGCAAAGATTTGTGGAAAACACAACCCAATTTCAGTGGTACTGACATTGTTTCTTAGAAACCAATTTATGGGGACACAGGAATAGAGGGAGGAAGGGTAATAAGTGTAGTCACGGCATTCAGTGTATACTATGTATAAATGAACAATGCAACTTTTGAGCAGGGATGGGAGGAGGAAAATGGGGAAAGTGAAGGAAGGGGTGACATTGTCCAAAAACTGTACTCATTACCTGACTTCCTCTTTGTACAACTACTTCATAAAGATAAAGAAGAAAACAACTTACACACAAGTTTTAATTAATTTATTATTTTTATGTCAGTACTACGTTTTGCAGTCAGAACCTGGACACTGTCCTTTAGCTTTTTCACTCAAGGCTGATATTCTACCACTTGAGCCACACCTCCACTTCTGGCTTTTTGCTGGTTAATTGGAAATAAGAGTCTCTCCTGCCAGGCTGGCTTCAAACAGTCATCCTCAGATCTAGGATTACAGGCATGAGTCACCAATGCCTGGCTAAGGTTTTTCTTTTTTTGGGGGCGGGGGAGATTGGTTGTGGGGCTTGAACTCCTCTGGGCTTGCGCACTGTCCCCGCGCTCTTCAGCTCAAAGCAAGTGCTCTACCGCTTGAGCCACAGCACCACTTCCAGTTTCCTAGTGGTTTATTGGAGATAAGAGTCTCACGGACTTTCCTGCCTGGGCTGGCTTTGAACTGTGATCCTCAGATCTCAGCCTCCTGAGTAGCTAGGATTACAGGCATGAGCCACTGGTGCCCGGCTTTTTTTCATTTTTAAAGAGAAACAATTACAGAGTTAAAGAAGACCTCACGGTTCTCATATTACCTGCTGAAATTGCTGTTAATAATAACAAATGAAGCCGGGCACCAGTGGCTCACCCTGTAATTCTAGGTACTCAGGAGTCTGAGATCTGAGGATCGCGGTTCAAAAGCCAGCTAAGGTAAGAAAAGCCATGAAGCTCTTATCTCCAATAAACCACAGAAAACTGGAAGTGGCGCTGTGGCTCAAGTGGTAGAGCAGTAGCTTTGAGCTGAAGAGCTGAGGGATAGTGCCCAAGCCAAAGTTCAAACCCCATGACTGACAAATAATAATAATAACAACAACCAAGGAATGTTGCTTGAGAGAAAAATTCGAGATTTCTGAGTATTGATACTTTAAGAAGTTATCTCTATTGTGACCTATATACAATGTATTTCAACAGTCACCATTAGTGTGCAGCTCATTCTCTCCTGTTCAGTAATCTTTCATTAAAAGTCACACTGCATCTATCCAAGAAGACTGCATGACCATTTTTTTAAAAGTGGCTCCCACTAATTTTTTGGACTGTTATTAGCAGGACATGCTGTCTATATCGTTGTTTTCTCACAGGGTCATTAGATAGCATTTCTAAAGAGTTCCATGTAGAGCTAGTTTTAAAATGTCTACATTATGTCTGTAAACTGAATGGTTGGGCATTTTGTTTCCATAGCAATATGTCATTTATTTGTAGCTGCAACTACTGAAGGCTAACTACTCATGAAGTCATTTCAGTCTTTGGAGCTGGAGCCCTTTTGATGGTAACGAGTTATAGCCCCTGTGTTTCAGTGATTCCATGTAGAAAGAGTTTCTTTTGCTGGAAAGCTTTGGCAATAATCATTCTTTCTGACATATGGTGTCACTTAACATGTGCTTGGCGTGTTCTTTTGTTTCACAACTTAGACATGTATTGAGGGCTTAATCAGTCTGTTTAGATCCATTGTTGGCCATTTGAAAATGTTAGGTAGTAAAAAAAAAAAAAAACACTACTTAGATTCAGTATCAGGACAACTGGGAGTGACAGCCCATGTATCAGATAGGGAGGTTAAAAAAAATGATTGTTAATACCAAAGTAGGCAGTCAAATTGGTTGTCTTTTTCACTTGAAATTACTAAAACAAACATTGCTAAAAAAAATTTAGGTAGTCTTCAGGCCGTGAGATTTCAAGGTCAGCATGCCTAAAGAAAGGAGGCTCCTGTACCACATGACTGCCATGCCAACTCTGGCTTCATCTCATCTGTCACCCTGCCCTTCTTACCCATCCTTAGTGTCTGCCCTTGCACATCTCTGTGTTTGGCTTTCATTTTACTAGGTTGGTGAAAAGTCTTACATCAAAAATTCTAGAGAAATGTGATTGGACTCCACTGCAAATTAGTTACCATATTCTTGGTTTTCTTATATTTTTATTTTCTTAGAGCCCACATACTGTTATTTTGAGAATTTAACAAGCATGGGCTGGGAAAGTGGCTTAGTGGTAGAATGCTTGCCTAGTATGCGTGAAGCCCTGGGTTCAATTCGTCAGTACCAGCTAGGCAGAAAAAGCCAGAAGTGGCGCTGTGGCTCAAGTGGTAGAGTACTAACCTTGAGCAAAAGAAACTTAGGGACAGTGCCCCAGGCCCTGAGTTTAAGTCCCAGGGCTAGCAAAAAAAAAAATTAACAAGCAAAATGAATTTACATTGCTATTGTAGCTTTGTAAAGGAAAATTGTGCTCTAGTTTTGTTTCTGTTTGTTTGTTTTGGCCAGTCCTAGGACTTGAACTCTGGGCCTGGGTGCTTTCCCTGAGCTGCTTTTTGCTCAAGGATAGCCTCTACTACTTGAACCACAGTGCCACTTCCAGCTTTTTCTGAGTAGTTTATTAGAGATAAGTCTCATGGACTTTCCTGCCCAGGCTGGCTTTGAACCTCAATCATCAGATCTCAGTAGCTAGGATTACAGGCGTGAGACACCAGCTCCAGCACGCTCTAGTATTTCTGACTGGCCATGTGCAACCAAGCAGGAAGTGTGGGTAAAGGCTTTACATTTATGCAATCATCCTGGGAATAGTGTGGCTCAGCATGCTCAAGCTAAGAATAACCTAGTTTGTATTTTATATAAAACATTGGAACAGACCATTTTGTTTAATTTTTTTAGTAAGTGTCCTTTCATCTATGAAAAGCTGTCTTAATAAATTTATTTCATTTGTAAGTAGAATTTCTAATGTCCATTTTACTAACCGTAGAGCTAAAAAAATCCTGCAAGACATGTGCTGGTAGCTCACATCTGTAATTCTAGCTACTCAGAAGGTTGAGATCTATGGGATCAAAGGTCAGTTTCAGCCCTGGCAGGAAAAAACCCTGCGAGACTTCATCCTCAAAATAACTGGCAAAAAACTGGGCCAGAAGCATGACTCAGATGGTAAAACACCAGTCAAGACAAGTGAGTGCAAGGTCCTGAGTTCAAACTGGTACCAGCAACTAACTAAATAAATAAACTGCAAAAGGTAGAATAATGAAAAATAATTTGTATCTCAGCATTATTTTGTAAAAAAAAATTTGTTTAACCAATCTAGTTGTATAGTTTAAAAGTAATTTCTTAAAAGTCAGGTATGGTGGCACAAGCCTATTATCCCAGAATTCAGGAGGCTGAGATGGAAAGATTGAAAGTTTGAGGCCTACTATGGAGTCTGGACTCAATAGCAAGACCCTATCCATTTAAAAAATGGAAAAATATATTTTTTAAATACAAAAACTGAATTTGATTCCAAAAATGTCACCTTTGTTATCTGTGTATGTAACAAATCATTGCCCAGGTTCTGTTGTTCCATAATTTGGGGGTTGTGTGGCTTGGTATTTCTGGCTTGGCTTTCTTTTTTGCCAAGGTAACAGTGCTTTTATGATGGAGTTTCCAAAGTCATACATGCCCCTCTCCCCGACTTCTGTGGAAGAGCCTCCAAAGAATTTGTGAACATTTTTCATACTACCGCACAAGTGGTCTAAGGGGCCACACCATCAACTTAGCATTGTTAAAGTCTTGACGCCTTTCAGTGAGTTTATCCAGAAGGTCATGTGGAATCATAGACTTTTGAATTGGAAGGGCTCTGGGCTGCTGCCTCACTGCCCATGAGGTAGAACAGAGTGTGTGACAGTACTAGCTATGGTGTATCATTAAATTAGGACAAGCACCTTTGACCTCGTGGCTTGAGATGGTTGCCCGTCAGTCATGCTCAGGACAGTTCCCTCCGTGTTCCACATTGGGACGAGCTTCATTCCCCTTTCTCTGTCTCCTTTTGAGGAGACCTGAGGACATGGCAGTCAGAACTTGACAGTTTCCCTTTGGTTCTGTCTTCCTTGTAACACTAAAGAAAGAATTGAATGCACACATAACTTTCTCCTAACTTCTAAGGAGCAGATTATCACCGTGCCAGGAGAGGTTTAGAGGGATTATGTTCTGTTTCTCGCCGTGGCAGAGTTCCAGGCAAACCTGTGAAGGAGTGAGTTTTAGGACCATATGTGATCTACAAAGCCCTGCTCCGCTGCATCCACCTTGAAACACTTAAGTGGGTTGCTTAAACCTGTTAAGTGTGTTCTTAGTTTTTAAACATCTCTTTTAAAGTCTACAAAAAGCCTCAATATCTCCTGAATAGTGAGGTAAAACATCCGTTAGGAAAATTCTTTTCACATGAATACTAACGATTTGACAAGTCTCAGAAAAATTAATGTTGTGACAAAAGTAATTGGGGTTCTGCTCATTTTCAGCAGTGTGTGTTTTTTGATTCAGTGCCCTTGGCTCTTTTCTCCTTACAAGCTTGCCTTTGTAATTGTGACCAGTCCTCTTCACTGTCCCTTCTGGCCTCCTTTTTCCACTATGAAACTCTTAGAATATTTAAAAATTTTAGAAGTAGTACACATGAGCAAAATGCTTGAGAATGTTTGTTTTCTTCCTCCCAATGAACATTTCTGCTTCAGGTTCTTCTGCAGCTTGGGCTGTGGCTGCCAATGCCAGATGGCACCGTTTCTGAGAGAAGAGTTAGCTTTTGCTTAGAAGTAATACCACAAACAATGCCAAATTAGCATAAGCAAATGTCAGTGAGTGAGCACAAAGCCAACACTCTTTCTGTCTTTTCTTCCCTCTCTAGGCCATGGGTGTTGAGAGTGACCAGGAAATTGTGCAGATGATTGGGACAGAGGAGCACGTGATGGCCGCCTTTGGGCCCAGTCTGGAGGAGTGCCAGAAAGCTCAGATTTTCACACAGATGCAGGTGTGTCTTTCCCTGGTGTCCTTGGCTCTAAACGGAATTGAGCTCTCATGCGGCTCAGTGATAAGGTGTCAGGTGCAGTGGTTTTTGGGGTGGTGGATTGCGGCAGGGTGTTGGGGAGATGGGAGCAGTTGGAGAAAGTTCCTTTGGCTCATTAGTGTGGATTGGATGGGGAATTTGCTAGACAAATTAGGAGCCTGTGGTCTCTAATTTAGAAGAGGACTATATGGCCAAGAGAGTTCTGTTCTTATATAAGGACAAAACCTTCAGTTTAAAAAATGTGTAGCACAGGGCGCCTGCGGCTCACGCCTGTAATCCTAGCTACTCAGGAGGCTAAGATCTGAGGATCTTGGTTCAAAGCCAGCCCGGGCAGGAAAGTCCGTGAGACTCTTATCTCCAGTTAACCACTAGAAAACCGGAAGTGGCGCTGTGGCTCAAGCGGTAGAGCCTTGAGCTGAAGAGCACAGGGACAGCGCCCAGGCCCAGTGACCGAAAAAAAAAAAAAATCTGTAGCAATTCTAGTGTAGAGGGTTGAGGAGCCATGCACTTTCTTCTTGTCATCTTGTTTTTCTTCTCGTATTGGGGACCAAACACATAGCCTATGCGTGATAACCTGGGACTCTACCACTGAGTTATAGCCCCCATCCTTAATGTGTCTCATGGCTTTTTTCCAGCTGAGCCACTTTAGGCATCCAGTTGTTTGTGATCTCTCTTCCGTTTCCTAAATGCCAGTTACTCCAGACAGTAAGAAAGGCCCAGGAATTATCCCACCACCCTTCCCCCACAGGTCCTCACTGACTGCTCAGCTCCTCCAGACAGAATCTGGGAATTTTAGAAGACTCAAAGATGACAATATTTCATTATGCTGAACATAATAAAAACAACTGTACTTCCCACATGGGCTAGCCCTAGCAGCCATACTCAGGATGTCTAGTCTCAGGCCTGTGAAGTGTTTGCTAAGTAAAAATCATCATAACATTCCTCATAGCCCAGCTAGGTGTAGGAATTCCCTACTATACAACTGCAGTAGGCAGTTCTGATTTGTCCATATGTATGTACATTGTCTATTCTCTGGGTTCGTACGACAATATAGAAATTCTAGGGGTATCGTCCTGCCTTCCTCATCAAACTTAGGGCTCCTCATGCCTCCTTCGCACACTAAGAGACTGGGCATCATTTGTTTCCTGGGAAGAGGTAACATTGTGATATATCACAGGGATACTCTTCTCCTCTGAGTTCCTCCAGTTCTTCCTTAAAGAAGAATCTTTAGACCTTTTTCCTAAAGAACTACACAAACACGCTTTTAAAAAAAATTCCTATAATACTCAAATGACAATCTTACAGGAAGAAAACAATCGAAAAACTAAAAAGGGAATAGTTGTGGTGTTATGTCATTGGTTTATAGTAAATGTTGATTTTTTTTTTTTTTTACTACTCCTGGTATACTTTTCTTTATAACCAAAGTCTTTATCTTTGGTGCTTACAGTGTACATTGTGTGTGTGGGTAGGTACTTACCAAAAGATTACCAGTGATGTCATTCAAACATTATTATCTGATTTTTATAGGCACTAAAATATATAGGGAATAAAGTAAGAAGGCAAAGAATGTGGGGAGGTGGACCGAAGAAAACCAAAATAGAAGAAGCAAGAGAGCTCCTAGCTTCTACCATTCTGACCCATGTACCGGTAAGTAACACTTTAGTAACTGAGAATAATGATTGTGGAATCCGTGAATTTCTACTGAAGAATTGTGAATGATAGTTTGTACTGTTGAAAGTGTATTTTTAAAGAGAATTTTAAAAAGAGGACAACACTTTCCCCCTGGAAGTAATTTTCCCTTATCTGCATATTATTTGTTTAGAATGTTAGTATAGTCATTCATTAGCATGAAGTTTATTCTGTCATGCTCTTTCAATCTTATGGTTATTTTGTATATATAAAAGAGTGCTAGTACTAGAAATTATAGTTTCAAAAGAAAGCGCTGATGTCTTACATATTTTAAAAATAAAACAAGCAGGTCTAAAGGCATGGCTTAAGCAGCACCTGCTTTACAAGTGCAAAGCCCTAAGTTCCAACGCCCCAGTACTTCCCCCCCCCCAAAACCAATTCACCGTACCTTTTCCATTTCATTTTTTATTATGGTAAAATATGTGTAAATTTAATATTGTAAATAACAAGTACATTCACATTATTGGATGGCTGTTTCTACAATAGATGCTTTTGAAAATGCTTACTGGATGAGTTCATCTTCTAGATCTTGAGTTCTAAAATTTACACTGTCCAGACTTTATCACTTACAAGGAAAATTCTGTCATCACAACAGGCTGGATCATCTGTCCTATCACCTGACTTTGTCAAATAACTGTTGCATGGCAGACAGTGTTGTAGCCCTGTTCCTGATATCACTGCATAGAAAAAATTTCCAAAGCTCAGTGGCTGAACATGACTATATATTATATTTCTCCTTGTACTATAGTTTGCTGAGTTTTTTAATAGATATTTTTATTGTAAACATACTGTACAGAAGGGTTACAGTTACATGAATAAGGTAATGAGTACATTTCCTATCAAGCATTGTTACCCTCTCCTTTGTTTTTCCCCTTCCATCCTTTCCCTCCCCACTTCCCTAACTCCTCCCCCTCCACCAAGTTGTAAAGTTCTCTTTCAACATAGTATCTTGTACATCTCATTGTTACAATGGGTCATCCTATATCCTTGTTTCAGCATTTTGTTATTTCCCTTCCCCTCTCCAAATTAGAAAAATGTATATACAAGATGCAGGCACCGGAGTCAAATTCAGTGAAAAACAGGAGTGATAGCATGGGGGAAGAACATACAAAAGAAACAACAACAACAACAAAATCACATAGTACATTCTAAGTACATTAAAAACAACAGCAACAAAGATAAAACTTCTGGGGGAGGGGGGCGGTTGGGAAGGGATGGGAAGGGGAAACAAAGGAGGAGGAAACAATGCTTGATAAGAAATGTACTCATGGGCTGGGAAGGTGGCTCAGTGGTAGAGCGCAAGCCTTGCATGCCTGAGGCCCTGGGTTTGATTCCCCAGCACCACATAAGCAAAAAGAAAAAAAAGCCGGAAGTGGCGCTGTGGCTCAAGTGGTAGAACGCTAGCCTTGAGCTGAAGAGCTGAGGGACAGCGCCCAGGCCCAGAGTTCAGGCCCCACGACCAACCCCCCCCCCCAAAATAAAAAAAAAAGAAAAGGAATGTACTCATTATCTTGCCCTTGTAATTGTAACCCCTCTGTACAGTATTTTCACAATTAAAAAAAAAAAGATAAAACTTCTTGTGTCCCTATCTTGGGGTTCATTTCGCTTAGCATCCTCTTATATGGTCATAGGTACATAGCTTTTGACCTTTTCTGCTTGTCCTATACATATACTAGTTATTGCAAATAAGGGAAGCCATATACTATAGTTTGTTGGGTTTAACCTTAAGTTGGGAGAAATTCTCATTCCCTTTCTTTCATGAGGTTGCAAGTAGACAGCAGCTGAGGCTGGAGTTATCTGAAGACTCAGCCAGGCTGGATGTCCAAGGTGGCTTTCTCTATATCAGAGTGTCCTGGACTTCCAGAAGGGACGTGAAAGTGCCAGGATACTGAAGAGGTAGGCCTAGAATTGGCTTCCACATCGTTTTTGCGGTATTTTCTTGGTCACACTTATCAAAGGCCAGCTCCAAGGCTGATGAAGTACACAGAATGAAGGAGTTTCAGGAGTCACCTTTGACGACAGTTACCACAGGTAGTATGGAGATAGTGTGTGTTTTCTCAAACTTTTTTTTAATGATTTGTGAATTACAGGTTAAAGAATTTAATTTCCGAGCCAAATGTATTTATACTGCAGTGATGGTACGAAGAGTAATCTTGGCTCAAGGCGATAACAAAGTTGATGACCGAGACTACTATGGTAACAAGCGACTGGAATTAGCAGGACAGGTGATTTAACCAGTCTTACTTTATTTTCACTGATAAGCATTAGTTTAATATTCATTTCAGAGTGTAAGAACAGACATTTTAATAAAATATTGTTTGCGTATAGTTTGAAGTATACATTTAAAAAAAAACAAAAGTATACATTTTTTTCATACATCTATGTAATAGACTTAAGAATTTCTTTAACTGAAAAACAATTCCTTAAATGTGCTGATAGTATGTTACCTACATTATATCTTTTGTTGAGATGTTTACTGTTCTTGTAAGGTTGGAAATGAAATATGACTCTAAGTACTGTTTACTTATTGAATCAACAAATATTTATTAAATAGCTTAATATGTTCTGTGCCTACTCCTAGGTTCTGGGTATATGGAGAGAGAGAATAAAGCAGGTGAAGATCCCTTTTCTCTTGGTCATACTAAATCTCCTGGGAGAGAAATGATCACACTTTTGAAAACATTAGTAGATTAGTGAGGAGAATATGTCTCTAATCTCATTTTAAAGTCTTAGCTGATAACGCTATCTTGAGTGTCTAAAAATCTTTGAAACGTTATTTTACCATTCCAATCCCAGATTACCTTTAAATCAAAGAGCTAGAGACTTAAATGCTATTACTGTTTTCTTTTTCCATTGATTATATGGAAGTACCTTGGTGTGATTCTATTATTATCCTAATTATAGTTTATTATATTCTTAAGTCTTTAAGCTTTTTTTTTTTTTTACCAATTTTGAGAGATTTAAATATCTTTTTTTTTTTTTCTGGCCCTGAACTCTGGGCTTGAACACTGTCCCTGAGCTGCTTTTCCTCAAGGCAAGCCCTCTTACCAATTGAGCCACAGCACCATTTCTGGCTTTTTTGAGTCATTTATTAGAGATAAGAGTCTCACAGACTTTTTTGCCCTGGCTGGCTTTGAACTGTGATCTTCAGATCTCAGCCTCCTGAGTAGCAAGGATTATAGGCATGACCACAGGTGCCTGGCTTAAATATCTTTTTTTGTACTATTCTTTCTCTTCTTTTCTTCTGACTCTAATTTTACTGATGGGCCTTTTGGTACTTAGATTCTATTAATTTTTTCCCTTTCTTCTGACTGGATGATTCTGTGATCTATTTTCATACTATTTTATGTCATTTATAATTTATTGTTATAGTCACATGGTTAATTAGCCTAAATATTTTATCTTTCAATTCTAGAAATTTCACTTGGTATTATTTCATGACTTCTGTTGATATTTCTTGTTTGTCCAACCATACTTTCATTTACATCTTTGAATTTTAATAGCTGTTTGAAAAGTCTTTGATACTCTTATCATCTTAATCACTTTGAGTCAGTCTTTTGATTAGCTTTACATCTCAATACTGGTTTGTTGAGTTTTTTTGTATGTATTATTTTGGATTCCATCTTGATAAAATCAAGTATTGGGATGTTAGGGGAAGGATTCCCTTTGTCAGGATGATCAGAGTAGATTTCCAAAATGATGTATTTTAAACCAAGGCCTCCCACACTCAGAGTGGACACTTGAAGGAAAGAAAGGCAATCTCACACCTGGGGAACTGAATTCCAGCAAAAACACAAGCTGGATGTATCTAAAGCACACTAGGCTAGGGATTTGGATTTAACTTTACAGTGGAATAGAAAACCTTTGGGGGCATGCTCTTCAGAGGAGTGACAGATCTGAGTTTTCGTTTGGGAAGCTTTGATTAAGAGATGAACAGGCCAAGAGGCAGTGGCAGTGTTCCAGGTGAGAAAGGATGGTGGCTGAGATGATGCCAGCAGACACCACCACTTCTGAATTCAAAGCTAGAAGTCATAAGTTAGAGCCATTTTCATTTGGGGGCAAAGTTATTGGTGTCTAGACTATTGGAAGTTCTGTTGGGTTACATGCTTGGCTGACCAACTTTGACCACATTCAGATTGACTACCGTGCTTCTGATATCCTCACCACTCACAATCTGAATGTTTGCTAAATTTTAATTGGAAAAAAATCATGTTGTAGAATTAGTCCATTAGAAAAGAAAGTTGGTTGCTTAGAGGAATAAGGACTAGATCAGGGAGGGTGGGGAAAGGAGAGACTATCCTGTTGCTTAAGAAATTAGAATTAAAAAGAGGGCTCCCATGTGCAAGAAAACATAGCTTTATAAACAATGTAAAGACATAAAAGGTATTGTGTGAGGAAAAATGTGGAGAAACAATAGCAGCTAATTTCACACCCCATGGGACGAAGAAGTATAAATGTGCTCCAGCTGGAGATAACAGAGTTGTCTCCACTGGTCCAGCCAGTTCTCAGAGCTTTGCCTCAGTTTTGCTGCCACCAGAGGGTTGGCAGGCCAGCCGCCAGTAGAGGTGTTAGCAAAACCTAGCGATTTCAGGCTTAATCTTTTCACCTACCTTTTCTTTTTCGGTAATGTGTTCATTATTTGCCGCACATTACTCTATTCTTTGTCTGCAGGTTTTTTTTTTGTTTCTAATGCAGCTTGCTTTGTATGGGTGAGATATGGAATGGTACCAAAATCCGGCACCTTGGAAAGCCAGGGATTTCCACCCTGTGACAAAAGAATGCCGTCTTGACTTCAGAGATTGCCTAATCCCAGCTGTTCTGATAATGTAATTAAGGCTGCCTAATGTCTTTAATTTTGCAACCAGTTTGTGTGAAAAGGAGAATTTGGCACTCTGAAGGCTTAAATACTAAATAGCAATCTCAAGACGCCTAATTAGAATTCTCTGACATTAAGCTAATTGGTGAAACTGTATTTCAGCAGCTTAACTTCTTTATTAATTTTTTTAGCATTTTCATGGAAAATTAATTGATGAGCTGTCAGCATTTTTTCCCTTAAATATGACTTACTCAGTAGTGGTCCTGTCCTTGCTCCTCAGACTAGCAATGAAAGGTATTGAATATTATCACCAGCATTCATTCCTTTTAATCATTTTACTCTTGACCTAAATAGTGTGGCTTGTGTGACTTGGCCTTTCCGTTTCTCACTGCTGTGGTAACTGGACAGCACTATTTCTCTTAGCTTGAAATTTAGGGGTGGAGAATTTATTAATGAGGCAGTTTTTCTGTTGAGTGTGCACTTACTTTTTACTTATTTAGTACCAGGGACATTTCTTTGTATTTGAATCAGATGCTACAACAGACTCTACTGTGATCCAAAAAGAAAAAAACAACTTTGTCATAATTTGAGACACAGTGTTTAAGTGTGAAAGACTAATTAAAAGAGAGCTGAGCTTTTGTGGTTTAGGTTAAGGGCATTTGATTCTGCTCAGGATGCTTATTCAAGTTCCTTTTGCCAGTTTCCACAGGAAGTGGCTGAAATGGGCCTCTCATACCCTCTCCCCCTCTGCACCTGCTCCCATTCCCATGTTCTTTCTTGCCATGAGTGAAACTGCCGGGCTGACTAAGAAAGGATTAAGCTCTCAGGGAGGAAGTTTTCTTTTTAGACCACTTCTGACAGTCAACTCAAGTCCAAGTTTCTCACTTTCCTATCTGCAAGTTGATTTTAGTAGAAAAGTGGAGCATGTATCTAACTTACTGGGGAGGAGCGGGGAAAGAACATAGAATCTAGTCCCACTTAAGAAATTCTTTTTTCAAAGCTAGCTAAAGAAGACTCACTTGGTTTGAATGCCTTCTTCATTCAGAGCCAAAAACTGCCTGTATATTATAAACATTCAGGAATAACCTCTCTCTCTGTCTCTGTCTCTTTCTGTCTCTGTCTGACACACACACACACACACACACACACAAAACTGCCTGTATATTATAAACATTCAGGAATAACCTC